GAAGTTTGGAGCAGGAACTGATGTCCATATTGCAGATGCAACCAAGGACTGGTTGAAGTTTGCGACGAAACAGATGAATGACGCCATCAAGTCTCGAGTCGAAAACAAAATAGTAATACCTATATGATTGAGATTTCATTGATATCTAGGATGACTATACACATTATCAATCTTGTATTTGTATTCTCATTATTTTTATTATTATTTATTAATTTGCAATAATAATAAAGATTGATCCATAGTAAAAATGGAAACGTTACCCCATCTCATGTCTTAGAAACGTTTTAGTTACTTTTAAAATTGGTAGTAATATCGATTCGACGATAAGATAAATCATCGTTGATTCAATCTAGAAGATCAACGTTACTTGAATTCTGAAATGTCACGTTTAATGTTAGTGTTGACATCAACGTTCAGAATTCGTATCTCAGCAACGTTACTTTGAAACCAAGTTTGAAACCAAAATACATCGTTATATTGAAATCAGTTGAAAACGTATAGAAAACGTTTAGAAACTATTGATTTGTATGGTTACGTCAGAACTGAAATAAAACGGTATATTTCAGTGGAATTCACATTACGTGTGCTACGTGTGCAACGTCTTAGTTACGTTGAATCAACGTGAAGAGGTAACGTTACTGTTAAACCAGAATAAAACGTATTGCCTAACGACATTTTGCCGTTTTTTCAATTTTTCAACGATGAATAATAAAGGCGTTAATTGAAGAATTCAACGTTTTTTCCACATAGCTGTGTTTATTGGGAAGTACCCCAATATCTTAGAATCAAGTTCATATTATGTTAGTACAAGAGCAATGGTGAAAATTGCATGCAGGCTTGTATCACAATATGCACAATTATTGTTATGATTTTTCCTACTATGCCGCTTCACTATTTGTTTCACTGTTTTCGTGTTTTGAATGCCATTTCGAGTGTATTTGAAATTGATACAAATACTGAACTGGTGAAACTAGTATAAATTGCTCTCAGTGTGTTGATTTATAATAATAGTATAAATTGATTGATGATTAGGGATGGTATTGAAGCGACATAGTAGAACAAATCAAAACAATTATTGTGCATTTTTTGATACAAGCATGCAATTTTCACCATTGTTCTAACATAATATGAACATCATTTTAAGATATTGTGGCACTTTACATATTACATCTCTAAGGAGGTTTATCTCATTGATCGAGCCACTATAATTCATAATAAAATTTACACTCCTGACATCACCTAATCCTTATGAGATGAACTAAGTATTATACAGGGTGTAACTTGAATGATGTCATTAATTTCAGGGGTGATTCCTCGTCATATTTCATGAAAAAAAGTTTATATAAACGTGTGTCCTACCTTGCTTCGTTTCCGAGTAACCAGGTGTCAAACAGTTTTTTTTGTAATCTGATTTCATGACAAGGAGCATCGTATTACAAAAATATTAAACACACACGGAGTTGAATCAGAATCGGCGAAAAGAATTCTGAGTAATTCATGAAAAACCGATTTTTCATTAAACTTTGGACACCCCGTTACTCGGAAACGGAGCAAGTTAGGACACACGTTTATATGGACTTTTTTTCATTAAATATGACAAGGAATCACCACCTGAAATTAATGACATCATTCAAGTTACACCCTGTTTATTGGAAAATATATGCTACTTACAAGTGAAGCAACTGAAATACAGGGTTTGATTGGTGTGAATGAATAAGTGCAAAAAAATGAGTTGTCATATTTTAGGAAATGGAGTTCATATAAACATGCATGTGTCCTAACTTCTTCGTTTCTGAGACATAAGTATACAGGATGTTTAAATTGAAAGTATCAATTGGTTTTTATGACATATCTTCCTTATGGACCCAATATTCAGTTTTGTTGCCTAACAAAATCTCAAAATTTCAGAATAATACTTATTGAGGCCATTACGGGTGCGTTAATAGCACCTTAATCGAGATTTATAGTCAAATGTTTTATTGTGTATTTTCAATTGTTCGATCAAACTGCCATATCTTTTCAGAAAAGGAATGGATTTTCAATCGAAATGCAGTGCTTGGATCTACAGTTGTGTGCATAAACTAGTCGTACAAGCAGGTTTGTATGGTGTAAAACCTGCCTATGATTTTCCTGATTTCATTCAAAAGTAGTACACGTATACGTTTGGGCGTTACTGACAAAAATAGTTTGAATTTTTTGACACTACCTACTTGTCAATAAAGTCGATAAGGAGATTAATCAAGATTGATAAGCCTGACTCACAATAGCCTATAACTGCTGTACGACTTGTTTATGCACACAACTGTACCTATTATATGAATGAAATGCTACGCCACTGTTTTGATTTCAATGGAAAATATGTCTGCACTCTTTCAATGGAACGATTAAAAATATCATCATTCTATCTAAAGAAGAGTTGAGAGATATACTCGTACCTCATGTTTTTCGCAAACCGTTTTGAGGCATGACAATGAGTCATGTCTTTGTTTAGAGATTCCATCCTACATTTGCATAATCAAGGGATGACAAAACACTTATGCAACCAATCGTGAACATTCTCGCAGTCTCGGGGTCATAACTACTACACTGTATCCTTGTACTCGGATTACTTCAATGATTCAATTGAACTAATATCATCGCTGTCAGTTTGGTTACAGTTGAAATTTTTGGGAATGGAGAACAACATTCGTTGAAGCCTAGAATCAGTACCTACTTGCATTAATTCAAGCACATTACATCCAGCTAGATGCAAATATCTTGTTGTATTATTTCGACATTAAGCGGCGAAACTATGCAACACGCCTTACGTTCAGAATGTATCGGGAGGCTCGAAGAATGAATTTGTTCCACATGAACTTGTTAAAAAAATAATCATCCCTAATATAACTATTCAATCCTTCAAATTCTGTAAGACATTCATTTCCATCACTTTTGAACATTTTTATTTGACGTCTCAAAATAATGGAATGTGGCCGAGACGAAATGTGGCTGAGACGAAATGAGGCTGGAACTAGATGTGGCTGAGACGAAATGTGGCTAAGACGAAATGTGGCTGAGACGAAAAGAGGCTGAAACGAGATGTGGCTGAGACGAAATGTGGCCGAGACGAAATGAGGCTGAAACGAGATGTGGCTGAGACGAAATGTGGCTAAGACGAAATGTGGCTGAGACGAAATGTGGCTGAGACGAAATGTGGCTGGAACGAAATGGACACGAAATGTGGCTGAGACGAAATGTGGCTAAGACGAGATGTGGCTGAGAGGAATATGCCTAATTTATTCGATTCTGTTAAACTGGAAATTGGGATGTCATGTGGCAACAGCGCATCATTCGAGTATATTCGGATTCTCTGGGCCAGACGAAATGTGGCTGAGATGAGATGTGGCTGAAACGAGATGTGGCTGAGACGAAATGTGGCCGAAACGAGTTGTGGCTGAGAAGAGATGCTCCCATATCTTCTACCGTTCAGGAGAAAATCGCAATTTATCAGCTGATAATTCTGTGCGAAAAATTCCTTTATAAATTAACTTCATTACACGTAGTGATATGTCTCATGATCGAATATAAATTAATAGCCATATAAATACATGTTCTGTTGTTTCCACGTCAAGTTATTACCTATAAGTGTAACTATTATTGGTGACAATCTGATATCATAGATTTATTGTTATTAGATATGTGATAATGATCGAAGAGGTCTATTCGAAGGAATGTGATCTCATATACACAGGGTGTCTCAGAATAACGTTCGTATACTCCAGGAGGAAATTCAGAAAATAAAGATGAAACAAATGTTACAATCAACATGTGTCCGAAAATGATTTCTAAGGGCCCTAGAATCCTTTCAAGGTAGGTCCTTAAATGCAGTTTCCTTCAATTAACTTTGTTATTAGTGATTGTTATTGATTATATTTGATAATCACGAAATTTGGTACCCATAATGGTGATTCAATCTTACAAATCGTTTTTATGAACGGTAAACATTTCTACCATCATGAGATAATTTTCAAACGCTTACGCTCACGTTAGAAAGCCGTGAAACGAACCGTATTCGAGAAAAGTGTCATTCTAAATTTGACGTCCGAAAGCATTCACAATGATTTTAAGCGTCATATGTGCTCTTATAATGAAAAAAAAATTGAGCTTGACAATCGAAACTTCACATTTTCAGTTAGTTTTGTTTAGTTAGAATTAATCGTGATGTGATTAGTTGATAGAATATCTGCAATGGAAACTGACTACATTTCACAAACTTTTTCACTAGGTGAATTTTTTTGGACATCCAAATGAAAAATGACCATTTTCTCGAAAACCGTTCATTTTACGGCATTCTAACAAGAATTTCTTTTTTATGTAAAAGTGTTTGACGAATCATAGTCTGTTCGCAGAAATAAGATACATCAGGAAACAAAAAAAACTTCGGACCTTTTATTTATAACATCAGTTACGAGTTTCACACCTACCTGTATATTATGAAATGATTTTTCTGAACCACGAAATGATTTGTAAGATTAAATTACCCTCAAGTATCAGATTTGATGATTCTAGGATCAATGGTTACAAAGATGATCGAAGAAAAGTGCATTTGAGGACATGCATATTATTATATACCTCCAAAGGCTCTAGTGCCTTTAAAGAGCATTATCGGCAACATGTTGATAGGAACACTTTTTCTTATCTTATCTATGCAAAATTACCTCCTGGAGTATACGAACGTCATTATGGGACACCCTGTATTTATTTATAAATTAAAATTATATATAGGTGAAAGTGATAGCTATATACCTACATCGTGCTATATACATATACATTAGGTTCGTACATATTATGAAATATACATCAAGTATATATATTATAAAATCAAGAGTCGGATGTATCGACTGTATCCGCAATATAATATTATGAAATGAATTCAATAACTATCCAGTAATGAGAGAGTGATTGCAATTAACTATATATATATAGAAATCAAGGATCAAGGATGAAATAAAACCACTTACTTATGTATAGTTTCTCCTCAGATAATCTGAAACACTCGCACAATAACACCAAAACAACAACAAAAAGTGCCATGCTACAGAACCGAAATAAGCACCTCCTGCTTCTATAGGTACTCAGGACACTGTCAAATAACCTTAAATTATTATTCACTCATCTTCATCTGATTTCCAAGCGGAAAAACCAAATCCAATTCTGGGTAGTCAGGATAGTTTCGAAATTAAGTGTTTTAATCCCTGAATGTTTGATAGCTACCTGTTATACCTACCCCGACTGGTGGAATGATTTGAGTAACTACCTACGTCAATAATATTATGTTGATAGAAACTGGTATAGTAATGATAGCAATTATTATTTTATGAATTTAATCAAAGGTCCACTTACCGGTTGAGAAAAACGATTGAATTGAACGTGACAGGGCTCATCCACTTCTCTAATACAAGGAAAATAAAAGTTGAATCAAGAAATAAGTATGCTTAAATATCTATTATCTGGGTTCCCTATCAGGAAATATTTCTTTTTTTTTTATCGCTTGGTGCGCACGAAAGGGAATCCCTATAATGTTCAAAGAACATCGTGCGTTCCTAGGGAGGATAGGGACAGGAGGTAGGTATTGGAATTTTTTTTGAACTTTTGGAGATTATATGTTGTTGGGAATACTTCCACAGGCAATGAATTCCAGAGCCTAGCCGTTCTATGGATGAAGGAGTCTTGATAAAGTGCTGTTCGACATCTTTCGAGGTTGACAACGAAAGGATGTGCTGACTGGGCTTGTCTAGTTCGTCTGATTGGTATTGCTAGTGAAGGGATGATAGCAGAGATTTCCGAAGAACATTTCCCGTGGAAGTATCGATAGAAAAGTGAAAGATCGCCGACCTTTCTACGGTGTTCCAATGATGTCAAAGAGTGAGTGAGTGTGGCGTCACCCACCAGGCGAATGGCTCTTCTCTGGATGGAATCTAAGAGCATCAGCGTATGTTTTGGTGCTGAACCCTATATGTGGGAACAGTATTCTAGAACAGGCCGTATCTGCGCTTTGTAGATCATGAGAAGCTGGTTGAGGTGTAAAGTAGCTTTTCGCACGGAACAAGAATCCGAGTTTTTGTGAAGCAGCTTTTGCGATGGATCTGACATGATTATCCCATGAAAGAGTGTTGCTGATGGAAATACCGAGCATAGATATGGTGGGCTTGGTGGGGATGGTGGAGCCAGAGATTACAATATCGGGCATACTGAGTTCCGCCTTTCTAGAAAAAATGCAGGCTTGAGTTTTGGTGGCGTTGAATTCAACTAGGTTGTTTGTTCCCCAGGCTGTGATTTCTGCAAGATCTTCATTGACAGCATTGACCTGCCTGCGCCGTGAGTTCTTAGTTTCCTGGGAAGAAATGGGAATTCTGGAAGAGAACGCAGTATGGAGGGTACTATCATCTGCAAAGCTGTGGATGGGGCAAGTTGTTACTCCCAACAGACCATTGATATGAAGCAGGAATAATGTTGGTGCCAAGATTGATCCTTGTGGAACGCCGGAATTGATGCCAATGGTATCAGACGATACACCGTCTACCACCACGTGAAGCGATCTGCCTGAAAGAAAACTCGATAAGAGATGACATAGCTGAGGTGGTAAGCCGTATGATGGTAGTTTGTGGAGGAGTCCTTCGTGCCAAACACGGTCGAATGCTTTCGATATGTCCAACGCGACAGCTAGAGATTCCCCGTGTTTTTCTATTGAAGATTGCCATAAATGGGTGACGTAGGCAATTAGATCTCCAGTAGATCTTCGGTGGCGAAAGCCTTATTGTTTATCATTGATGATTCCTAAGCTCTCCAGATATTTGATAAGCTCAATATTGATGGATTTCTCCATCACTTTGGAGATTACTGATAACAGGGCAATGGGCCTGTAGTTGTTGGGCAGGTTCTTGTTCCCTTTTTTGGGGATTGGTTGGACTCTAGCTGTCTTCCAGCATGATGGAAAAATACCCGACCTGTACGAGATGGTAAACAACTTGCAGAGAATCGGTGTTAATTCTGGTGCACATTTTTTGAGGATAATGGGTGGAATTCCATCAGGACCGTTAGCCTTATTCGTTTTGAGACCAAGCAAAATTCGTCTGATAGTGCGTTGACGGAAGACGATTTCGGGCATTCGGCTCTCAACGGGTGGAATGTCTGGCGGCAGTTTTCCTTGGGAATCTAAAGTAGAGTTTGCTGCGAACATCTCTGCAAAAATATTTGCTTTCTCCTGCGATGTTGTTGCTAATGTGCCGTCGGATTTGGACAGTGGTGGAAATGAACTATTAGTAAAATTTCTTCCGACCGCTTTAGCAAGGGACCAAAACGAACGGGAGCCATTGGGGCAATCTATGAGTTTCGATCTTATCTTGGCATTGTATGTTTCTTTCGAGGCATCTATTGTTTGGCTGCAGCTATTCCTGGCATCAACGTATTCTGTTCTAGTCGCGAGGTTAGGGTTTTTGCGCCAGCGATGGTAGGCTGTTTGTTTCAAGGCAACAGTTCTAGAACAGTTTTTGTTGAACCAGGGTTTCGAAGGTGATGATCTTTTCGAAACATGAGGTATGTATGTTTCCATTCCGAGCATGATGATCTCGGATATTTCCGCAGTACACTGTGAAGGGTCCTCAGAGTCAAAGCATACTCTATGCCAAGGAAACTCGGAGAAAAACATGCGGAGACCTTCCCAATCTCCTGAATTGTAATGCCATATAAGACGTGGGGTGCCGGAGCAGTTGATGGAATGAAAAATGGGCAGGTTGTGGAGATGAGTGTGTGGTCAGAATTGCCAAGTGGAGTTCGTACATCTATGGTGTAGGGTGCTGAATTATTAGTGAGGAATAAGTCAAGTATGTTAGCTGAATGGTTATTGGCATCGGCATCGGGAATTCGTGTGGGTTCTTTGATAAGCTGCTCTAAGCCGTGAGTTGAAGAAGTCCCACTGATTTTTTCATAACTTGATATCTATTTCAAAACTGCATCTGTGATGAATATATTTTTTCACGCTGTAGCAACATTTATTGTATTATAGTAATCCTCGAAATTTTATTAGTAGAATCGGGAGAATTTCCAAGGAAATCTTGAGTAATGAAATTAGCATTGCATCATCTACTATGTATTATGCAAAAATAAATAAAAAAAATATTTTCATAAAATATCAACGAACTATTTTCCAATTTGAGTACTATGGACTAGAAGGATGTATATCCGATGAAATTCTGTTCTCACTATATACAAGATTCATTCTTATGAAACATTTCGATTGATGGAAATCCTGTTTATAGGAATTTGTTTCAGATTGACAAAACGAATGTTGCATTCATTTTTCTACACAATATTTTTCATACGGCTAGAAGTGTTCCAAAGTTGACGCTCAGAAATTTTGTGGAAGAAATATTTTTCGAATAAGGACACAGTGCTTTCGTGAAGTACTGAATAAATTCATTTTCAGCCAAACTATCCATTTCTGAGAGATCTAGAACAGGTCGACTTTTATTTTAAATTTCACACATTTTCAAAAAAAATGAATATATATATACATAGAACACTCTATATAATATTCAATGTTTGAAATCTCCATAGGAAGCTGAATTCAAAAATATATCACACAATGGGTTTTTATACAGTGCGTCCTTTAAATTGAGTGCTTTCGTGAAGTATACTGAATAAATTAATGTTGCTCAATATATTATTTTCTGAGGAATATCCTGAACGAGACCGATCGCAATTCTCAATTTGTCACATTTCTAAGAAAAAATTAGATATACAGGGTGATTCACGTTTGAGTTTTGAAGTCCGCGACAATGTTTTTCAAATGGAACACCCTATATATTCTATTTTCAGAATCTTCATGGAAGGCTCAATTCGAAACTATATCACATATAGGTTTCTAAACAGTGCGTCCATTATATTCAAAACTACGTGAAATGGGGTTGCCATCATCATTAAAAAAAAATACCGATGGTGTAATTTGTCCAACAAAAATTATTCTGTATGTATTAATTGAGTTTTGAAGGTTGCCTGAAAGTACATAAATTTCGATATCTGTGAGCGTTTTTTCCAAAAATTATTAATTAAATGTTCAACGAATTCGTCCACTACATTACAAAATCACTTAACTCAATAGACGCACTGTATACAAACCATGTATGTGATATATTTTCTAATGCATATTTCCATGACCATTTCAATAATAGAATAATATATAGGGTGTTCTGTATGAAAAAAATGGTCGCAGATGTCATAACTCGAACGTAGATCACCCTGTATATTCTATTTTTCCTTATAAATGTGGCAAATTGGAAATAAAAATTGACATTGCAGGAGATTTCTCAGATATTTATTTTATGGTTAAAAATTAATGCATCCACTACTTTACGGGAGCACTCAAGCGGACAATTCAGATTTTTATGGATATTCCGAAAATTGAATAATATATAGTGTTCCATGTAAAAAAAATTCAGGAGCATGTTGTAGACGTCAAAATTAGAAAAGGAGTTGCATGGTATGAACAGTCAGAAAATTCAAATCTTTTGATGTAGATGTATTTAAAGAAAAGGTGACAAATCTGCTACTGGATGACAAATTAATCATTGATTTCCAAATATGAAAATAACTGTGAACAATTATGATACTTAGACCAAATGGAATTCTCAAAGTCAATAAAATATATATTGATTTTTTCTTGTTAATTTTCTAATTTCTTCTCTTCTTTTTCAGTAAGTATTGTTGGCTTTTTAATATCCTTTATACAGGGTGGGCCACCAGTAACGCCTCGGTCTCTAGAAGGCTAACCACTTATCTTCTTGGAATTCTTCCTCTCTAGGAAGTTGCATGTCAACATAGGCTACCATTTAAAATTATTTCGAAACATACAGGGTGTCCCCAAAAACCATAAAACACTGAAGTTAACTTTTTTATATCGAACACCCTATATATTATTTCATTTTGAGATTCTCCTTGATGAGCTGATTTCAACGACCCATCATACTTGCGGTCTAGCAGTTATAATTACTGAAATATAGGGTGTGAAAAATCGAGATTTTACAAGTTCAAGAATTTTTTGTGTCGAAACTATTCATAATTGGTCAAAACGGCTTACATGTCCCTATCTCAACTTTTGATTAACTATCTACTTATATTTAATTGGGACATATACCGGGTGATCAAGATTCTGAATTCTGCACCACCCTGTATTTGTTTCAATTGAATGTCAGTAGATAGTTGATCAAAAGTTGAGACAGGGACATGTGAGCCGTTTTGACCAATTATGAATGGTTTACACACAAAATTCTTGAACTTGGAAAATCTCGATTTCTCACACCCTATATCTCAGTAATTATAACTGCTAGACCCCAAGTATGATGGATTGTTGAAATCAGCTCATCAGGGAGAATCTCAAAATGAAATAATATATAGGGTGTTCGATTGAAAAAAGTTCAACTTCAGTGTTTTGTGATTTTTGGGGACATCCTGTATGTTTCAAAATAATTTCAAATGGTAGCCTATGTTGACATGCAACTTCCTAGAGAGGAAGAATTCCAAGAAGATAAGTGGTTAGCCTTCTAGAGACCGAGGCGTTACTGGTGGCCCACCCTGTATACTGTATTATGTTAAACTGCTTACTTATTGGATAAATTCATCATTATTATTATTATCATTATATAAACATATATCCGCGAGTTATTTGTTTCTGAGATTCAGAGTGTAAAATTCAATCCTTATATCTGTATTTTGTGACTAAATACCAAACTAATCGTGATATCTGAGTGAAATTTGGTATTGGGAGTATTTTATAATGGCAAAATCGAATTTGCTGTTGATTTGTCTCTTTCGTGAGGGTGGCGCCACCAACATGTATTTTCAGTCATTCGGAATGTCATATTTTTTGCTGAAAAATCGATTTCTCTATTACTATTGTCCTGGCTAATTTCACGCAGGAAGACCTTTACATGAGAAACTCATCCCATCCAATCCCACTTTCAATATTGCATCTTAGGTGGCTATGCTCTTGAATTATTACAATATGACAATTATAAAGTTATAAATTAGTGACAATATGATAGACAGGAGGAAGACAAATTGACAAGATTACATTCTCGTGTCTTTCTTATCCTATTTTTTAGATGGCAACCTTTTTTTAGAAACACTTTTCTAGAGAAGGAATTTTTGACGAACCGAACGATACTAATTAATTTGCGATTGGATTAAAAATTAGAACATAAATTCAATAATACTGAGGAAAATACTGGATATTTATTCATTCACATTTGACAAGTGTGCCATGGGTAGTCATGATGCATAATATTTTGCAGTTATTATTTGCAAAACAATCCACTTTTCACTTCGATTATACATTTTTTTTTCAAAGTGTCATTGAAAAGCTATCGGGTTTTTCGTTCAGGCTCCCTTATCGAAAAATCATCTGATTTGTCCCATCACACATACATTGAAATAATACTCATATTTTTATTTTATAGAAAAATGTCACTGCGATAAAGAAATTCCACTATTATATAGGACCAAAAAGATTCCTCATGGATATATAGTCATAGTGATACCTTGTGTGAGAATGTGTAATGAAAAAGAAATTACGAGTATGATGATGAGTTGAGATATATATCAAATTTCTACTTTTCTTTCCTTTGCTGAATATTTTGAGAACGAATTTGCCCCTGTTTTCAATTAGAGGTATTTCAAATGAGTATAATTCGAATTTATGTATTTTCGTTTAATTGTATTTCACATTCCTCGTATTATCTCAGACATTTCACAACTTTCAACAAAAAAATGCCAATCATAAAGTAATGAAGCGCCCATATAATTCAAGATGTCAATAAAATCGAACCAACTACTTACAGGAATCAAATTTCATTATTATTAATTTTCTATCGTTGTAGTTGTCTACACAAAAGACCCATTTTTTTTTTAATCTGTGACTTATACCATTATCTCGAAAACTTTCAAAGCTGATGAAAACGATCAAAAAATAAAACCCTCAGAATGTTTATAAATAAAATTTTATTGTGATAAATAACAAATATCTCATCTTATTTCGATATCTGAATCGTTATCATTGTCAAACCTCTTCTTCCTCAACACCAAATCAAAACTGCTCATATAATCGAAGAAATCTGAAGACATGACCTCGTCCCTGAAACTCCCGAACTCCTGCCTAAAATGACGCGGAGTGGACCTCGTACCCCTTCTCGTCGTAGCAGTCGTGGCCTCTCCGTCTACGGCGCTGAGCTTCTTGAACGGTCGCCTGGACCCAGGTCTGGCGTGTTTGAGGGCTTGGAACTTGGTTGGCAGCGCAGCGCAGCAGACTTTTGGCATGCCGTCTTGGAAGCCACACTCTTGCGATCTCAGGAAACGGACCACATTTCTGGTCAGAGGACTTCCCGTCGATTTGACGAGAGCCATGTATGGTGTGCAGTCTTTCAGTACGATGCATTTCGATTTACCATGGCAAGGTTGTGTTTCTAGGAAAAAGGATTAGTATAAGATCACAGTATTTGAACGCGATGTATACAGTGTGACCAAGATAAGGTTGCACAGCATGGGCATCTCGTAAACGAAAGAAGATACGAATTTGGTCAAATGGGACGGAAGATGCGCATTTAAAGGGTCATTTCAACGGTTTTCGAAAATTTTCAAAATTGTTATTGAATTCAGTTATGTCAAAACAAGTGACTTTTTTTCTTTTTGGATGTATGATAAATTGATATTCATCATGCAGGACGTATAAGGAAAGTAGTTTTCTGTTGAATATTCAGAATGATATTATGTACCTATATGTAGGAGAATTCAAATTCTCTACTTTAGATTTTGTTTTCAATATCGTGTATGTTCAATAGATGTAATTCAATGTTCGTCGTGGCATATCGCCAGTGAAGTAGTTGTTTTCTGTTGAATAAACCGAGAAAGAATTGTTATTTTCATCACACAGAGAATTCGAATTCTCAATGTATTTCTTTATATACAGGGTGTTTCGAAATTCGACCGACAACGCTTGACAGGTGATAGCCCTCGTGATTTCATAATCACTGAGATAGGGACAGACGGTCTTGAAGTGTTCAGTTCTCGAGATACAGGGCGTTGAAGTTAAGAAATTTAAATAGTTTTTTCGCAATATCTCAAGAATGATTTAATATAATGCATTCAAATTCGGTATATGGTTTCATCTTTCACTGATTAATTTCTTGACCAGAAAGACATTCCGAGAATTTTATCCAGAGATGCGCTACAGAGGGTTGTGATAACTTTTCCTCCCATATTTTCTACGCCACTGATGAAATTTCAATTATTTCCAATTTCTCGAATTGTTTGTTCAGTTATGTTGAAAAAATGCATCACCTTCAACTGAGCTAAAATGAACAGTTATCGGGATATTTGACCCAAAATAGAAGTATGCATAGTAATTTTTCATCTTCCTCGGTAGTAAAAAATTACGAAAATTTTTGTTTTCTCTTCATGTGTGGAATAACTATTTCTGTTCAGCTATGGAATGAGATCTGAATAGTATCTAATCTACTCAACACCAGAAAAATATTTTTGCAATTTTCTACTACTGAAAATGATGAAATATTACTATGCAATCTTCTATTTTGGGTCGAATATCTCGAAAACTGTTTATTTCAGCTCAGTTGAAGGTGATCCATTTTCTGAACAAAATTGAACAATGAATTCGAGGAATTGGAAATAATCGAAATTCAATCAGTGGCGTAGAAAATATGGAAGGAAAAAATGCCACAACCCCCTGTAGGGCACCACTGGACAAAATGTCCGGAATGGCTTCCAGGTCAAAAAATGGCCCATTCAAAGATGAAACCATATACCGAAGTTGAATGCATTATATTCAATTATTCTTGAGATATTGCGAAACAACTATTTTCATTTCTCAACTTCAACACCCTGTATCTCGAGAACTGAACACTTGAAGACCGAATGTTCCTATCTCAATGATTATGAAATCACGAGGGCTATCACCTGTCAAACGTTGTCGGTCGAATTTCGAAACACCCTGTATATTCATATTCATTTTTTTAAGTTCATAATTATATCTGAGAATATTCCTTTACAAGTGAATTTATAGTGGAATTATTTTATTTTTCACTTCGTTATTATTAGAGAGACAGAATAACTGAAAATACTTCTTCACAGCAACTTTTGATAAGATTTAAAGTAGTGATATCGATATCTGCACGCGACCTTTCGTATTCGTAGAACCATTATTTTCAAATACGTTCTTCATTATGTATTCGCTGATTCTTCTTTAATTTTGAATACCACCATGTATTATACAAGGTGAATCTGAAAGTGAGGTTTTTCTCAACAGGATATATATCTCACCAAAATAAGTTGTTTGGCAATAAAAATTGCTCATATAAAATATTCAAGATGACGGAGGTACATGTATTTAATCGTTTAAAGAAGACTTCAACTATAAAACATTTTGTTCACATTTTCTCAGACAAAAAACGCAAAAAAGCAGTTATTAGTCCAGCACTAGATTCCCTACAGTTACATTATTTCATCAGAAATACTGATCAAAAACCTCTCCTTACATTTTCAACCTATTCATTATCGTTTTAAGAAATTTTAGGCCAAATAACTTATTTTGGCGAGATATATATCCTTTTAAATAAAAAATCTCACTTTCAGATTCATCCTGTATATGTTGGTTTGATTGAGGAAAATACCATCAGTTCTACTCATTTCTGATCATTCAGTGTCAAACATAGACGGATAATAAAATATTTCGTACATTATTCAATACAGCGCTTCAAATTGTTTCATGGTGATGGATTCCTACAGGAATTACTGTGATATCTAAACCTATTTTACAGTCCCTTGGTCTTTGTTTACGTTAATAATTTCAATAACAAAGAAGAATTAAGGGACATTATTTCGAAGCTTTCAATAGTATTACCCCAGAAATCCTTTGAAATGTCTTAGAAGCAACCGTAACAAGAGGATATTGGATCTTTGGAATTTCGAATGAACATTGATGCTGGCGGAAAAAAATGTCGAAATACATTTCAAAACACTTTGTATAATACATGGCTGAATCCAGAATTGAAAAAAATGTCATAATCTGTGAACCCATATTCAAGTCCACATTTGAAGAAACAAAGTTGATGATGGTTCTACGAATACAAAACGTCGTGTAGAGAAATCAATATCACCAAGTTAATCATCATCAGAAGTTGCTAAGGAAAAGTATTGCCAGCTTTTATGTATCTCTAATAATAACGTAGAAAAGAAAAGATTTACCAAAAATTCACTTTTCTCGATATAACTGCAACACTATAAACAACTTTGGGAATTTCTGAAAGCTGTTGAAATTACCTTCTGAATGCGCAGCTTTCTCTCTTTCAATTGAATTTGTATCTCTTTATCCGTTTCCGAGAACCTCATGCTGTGCAACCTTATCTTGCTCACACTGTAAATAACGGTTGACAACGAAATCATCGACCAGCGGGTCATTATTTTTGTGTCAGACTCTTGGTCATCGAAACGAAGATATAGTTCCCCAAAACCAATAATATTTATGAAAAACAATTAAATATAACTTCCGGTTTCACTGGATAGAATCCTGTTGATATTTTTACGTAATTAGATAGAACGAAAAATTCCCATTTCGGTGGCATATATATCACAATAAGTAGACTTTAGTTTCTAGAATCAATATGCAATACTGTGACGTCATCGATGAAATGTTTGTCATGTAACGTAACCTGAAGAAATAGCAAATAAACGAAGCACGAGGAAGTTTTCATTCATCGCCAATCAGGATTTCTTTTAGTACTTAATTCTTACATTCTCTGTGTTAAATTTTCTTCAAAATCTTGAATAGTAAATTGTTGTATTTTTGGAAGTTCAAGTGAGTATCTATATACAGATAAATGCTTGACACATCAAGCCTTCTGTTTTTGAAGTTAGGTTTTCAAAAACATTCTTTAATGCACACGAATAGTTATTTACTAAGGTGTAAAGAAATGGACAACTTCTAAAAAATAAAAACATAAGAGTCGTAATGTGTTAATGGGTTAACGGAATTTAAATATTCCTTACTCACTTGATATTTTTGTAGTACTCGGAAGACTCCTAGGAGTAGTGGGAGTAGTCATAATATTACTACTACTCATAAATATATTTGGATCCTTTTTCATTTGAGGTGGACAGCAAACTTTTGGATGGTCTCCTTGATGGTCACATTGTTTGGTTCGCAAATAATCAATGAAGGTAGACTTTATGGGCTCCTCTAGAGTTTTTATCAAGATTATGAAGGTACTACATTCCTTCAGTCTTATGCAATCACAAGTTTCTTGAGAATCACCTGTTGGAAAAACGATATTATATACTCAGGTTATCCCAAGATATCGTATATATAACAAGCTAAGTAAAAAATAATAACACCAGCATCAAAGTACCTTCCTAATGACTTATAATAGTTATTTATGTACCAAGGACGAAAAACTGTTTATTACTGTCGAGACTGCAAATTGATAGCCGAGGCTAGCAATCAGGCGATACAATAGACAGTTTCTCGCCGAGATGCATATTAAATTTTTTCGGCGACCGCCTCTAGCACTTATATTCACATCACGGTCGTATTCACACGTAGAATCTATCGGATTTCGTGAATAATTGATCTGACAACAGCAAATGACAGTTGTTGTCAACTCACTCTCTGCGCGGACCAGGGTTGCCAGTTCGATATTTATTCCATCAGTAGATACTTGTCAAATATTCAGTGGATTTCAATAGACCTGATGAAGATCTATTTTATGCTATACGAATTCCAAGAAAGGGTAATGAAATAAACCCATGACGTCAAAACATTATGCACTTTTAGTAAACAGAAAAGTAACCCATTTTCAACAAATTTGAAAAAAACAAAACAAAATTTTTCATAAAAAAATAATCTTATTCCTAATCCTCAATTTGAAGATACTTACAAATATCACAAAATAACGTTACATAGGTACTCATCAGATTTGAGTATACAGGGTATCCCTCCGGGAACTGCATCGATCAATATATTTGTAGGAAACCATAGGTGGGTCGAATTTGAAAATCTGAGAGTTCACTATTGTTGATAGGTGCTATCCGGCTAGAATATTTTGAAGATTGTGGCACTTCGGGTTGTACCGGAAGTAGACAGCAACTTCGTTATTTCAAATGGGTCACCCTGTATATCATCCATGTATAATGTCCTATACCCATACCTAACTGTTTTCGAAATATGTCAAATTTTAAGCTGAAAATTTAATTGCGTTTGCAGACCGAAATATATTTTTTTTTTATTTCTTCTGGACATGATCATTTATTTTTGATTGTGTAGGTATCAATTCATTCGAAGGAGAGGACCCAGTTCAGTAGAATTTCGATATCAATTCGATTACAGTTATACAGGGCGTTCACCAGAAAATGATATAAAGATCTGGTTGAAGAAATTATTGCAAGTCGATTTTTTCAAATGGAAACCCCCCAATTTCATATTCTCATTCGATTCGGCATCGAAAATGAAGCTAACTTCGAATAAGTTCATCTATGCCTACACTCACACAACAGTTTTCGAAATATATGGCGAATCTCAATTAGTACATTTTTTGAAAAACAACTAAAATGGTTATAGTTGACACACTGAAGTATGTACTATTATAATATAATATGTTTGTAGTATAATGAGGTATACCTTTTAAAAAAAATCGAACCTGAGGATTGGAATCTCGAAAACAAAATTACATATACAGGTTGATATATTTGAGTACGTAGCCAATAAACTACAAAGGTTGATAATTCCGGTGATATCAAGACAACAAATTAATGTGAACATAAGATAAAAATGTACCGTTTTCAAGATACAACGTGATGCAGTTTTCTTCTTCAATATGTTCTTCGTGAATATCGTGAATACTTCTCATCCGATTTCGTTCCAATTTGGCAATATTTTGTTATAGTAGTGAAGAGGATCCACCCCTTGAAGGTTAGCCACATACTCAAATAACACCCTGTATATGGGATATTTTTTCAAGATTTCAACACTCAGAATCCATTATCATGTGTTATATTCATTGTAGGTACTGATGGCAGATAATGGCAGTTGCAAAAAGTGTTGTCCCCTGAGTCTGTGGTTTTATATTTTTCTTATGCTTATGGAAGCAATCATATAAACAAAGAATCAATGAGGGCTATTTTTTTTTAATAATTCCCTTCATCTTTGGATTATAAAGCAGTTTACTAAGCATATAAAATTACCTTCCATGAGTTTGAATAATAGTTATGAGGATTATAATTCACGTGTCACGTGACTTATGGTGAACTGTACGTGTGATTCATGGTTTATGTTACTCGATAATATTAGTCCAATATCTTGATTGGAGTATCATATACAAATTCCTGAGGAACGTCACATTCACTTGTCGAATACAGATTTATTCTCAAATAGATGTTTGGTTCATCAAAATATTATGATGGATAATTTTTTGTCACTCATCTGTTATGGACCTAAGTGGATCGACTGGACGAATCAATTATTTATTCGCAAATAATGGAGATTGAAATTATGAATACGTAAACTTACCGATCATCATGTTGTTTGAAATCACCAATATTATCACGATATACTTCATAACTTCACCACACACCATGTTTATTATTTATTTGGAACTGTTTTTCTTATACCTTTCCTTTTTTGTTGCTGATGCTTTTGACTAGATGAAATGTTTTGGTGCGGTGGGTCACTACAATTGTATGTGGGAATGTAAATTTCTACTACATCAATGAAATGCAAGGGGAAATCCCATATTACTCCCAAATTCTGGTATTGAAGAATAATGATATGTATCCTTATTCATCAGCAGGTAGATGTAATTAAAAATGAATCATTAGGTAGGTATATGAAGATTCACAGATACAAATTATTGGTACGTAAATGTATGAAGTAGTTTCCTATCTATAAACTTCTCCTCTAACTATACTTGTAGTGCTTCTCAATAATTCGGGAAACACATTATCAATAGTGGCAATAATTCATTATTTCATTTAAAACTCCAGAACTCATAATGAATATTTCAACAAAAAAATAAATGCCTCCATAGATTAAGGCACATCTGCACAGCATGCTGAGTCTGAAGTGTCAATATTTTACACACGAAAAGTGAAAAATCCACTGTTTGAGAATTCGTTGTATAAACGGTACCTGCTAATATAAATAGTAGATAAACAACGGATTAGGATTCACCTATATATCAATTCACATAAAATCATCAGCATTTCTTCTCGATTTTTTGAACCCAACTAGTGAACACTTGGTGTAAGTTACGATATACTGGAACTTTGGGTTATGTGCCTGAGAGGTATTTATTCTTTCAAGAGACGAATCTCAAGATATAATGCATACCACGATTCATATTTGAAATTTGCATTTCTTTAATCTCTTGGAGCGCACGGAAGGGAATCCCTATATCATGTTCGAAGAACGTACCTAACTAGGAAGGAAAAGGGCTGAAGGTAGACAGCACATCCTTTCGTTGTCAACCTCGAAAGATGTCGAACAGCAGTTTATCAAAACTCCTTCATCCATAGAACGGCTAGGCTCTGGAATTCATTGCCTGAGGAAGTATTCCCAACAACATATTATAATCTCCAGAAGTTAAAAAAATCCAATACCTACCTCCTGTCCCTATCCTCCCTAGGAACGCACGATGTTCTTTGAACATTATAAGTATTTCTTTTCGTGCGCTCCAAACGATTAAAAAATATGGTGAGAATGATTCCTTTGTCAAAGAATTCGAGCTTTGCCGTTCTATGAACCAACGAGTTTTAGAGTAGACATATTTGGAGAATGTCGACAAAAGAATGTGTTGGGTCTTCTGCCATTCATAACCAAGATTTGAAATGTTTTCTAAATTGTGCCTACTTATATCTTTCAACACATTATTCATATTTTCCACATAAAGGTATAGGTATCTACCTACTTTGCAAACATTAGAAAAAAAATCTAGGAACAGCTTGACAAATATTCAAAACTTATTACATCCCGAATACTTTACTTGTGTGAGCACATGCATTTTTAAAAGTAGGTTTCAAATTAAAAGAAAAACGACACAGCAAACGTGAAAAATGAAATCCTTGATCATTTTGACAAATTCACCCATGACATCGACCCAACACTCAGAACTGCTCGTCTATTAAGATGTGTTGTTCGGTGCCTCAGTGTAATCAATATATAAAAGTACGAATTTATCAATACACAGCTTCTCCGCAGTTGCAAAATTATGCATTGTGGAGAACATTCCAAAAATTGGGAAACCTATTTCCAATTATATGTCTGTGTGTAGTAAGCACTACTCAGAAACCGATTAAGAAGGTAATTTCATATCAAGAAAATATTCTTATGTTCAATCTATTTTTAATGCATTTTTTCATTCAAGGGAAATGGAATCCTAATGCAAAAGTTCATTTTGACAAAAGGCTTCAGAAAAGTACCGCGAAAATGGTTTTTTCACAGCGATTTAATGTGCGCAAGACGCGTTGAAAATGTTTTGTTGTGTCCATGAAAAGGCTTTAAAAATAACTAGGAAGAAGGTAGTTTTGTGACATATCAAGGACATCTCGATAATTGCCGCCTGCGGCGGACATTGGCTGTTCTATAATAATTCTATTCATGTGTGAACAGAACATCGCAGTGGAGGTTCAATGTCTCGAAATCTCGTACTTTTAACATCTCTGAGATGTTTTCGTGCTCGCTGGGCATCGATAGACCAAGAGACCACATGTTTTTTTGTGTTCCATTTGTTCCTACTGAGCAGTATGAAAACCCCACAAATGCTAACTTCCACTACACGGATATGAGTTCGCAGAATAAAAATCGTTGGCCAAAGAGTGGGGAGCTGCGAGGATGAAGTTGTATTAAAAATCATGGGGTTTTGATACACTACTTAATACCGTTTGGCGTATGTCGAATAAAAAACAAACTTTGTTATAAACCTATAAACTATGTTTAATTAAAAGTGTAAATTATTCTCAAAAACTCAAGTTAATATAATCGCCGAACATGTTGGTTCGATCGGGACTTAACCATCCCCGCGTACTTTTTTCCTTAGGGTGTACAGTATGCCTGATGTATCATTAATGTTCGGCATTGATCCTACATTATTTTCAAATAAAATGGGTAATCGTAGTCACAAAATCCAATTTTCGTTAACAATATGATTTGTTAACGTTAGGCGATGGTGTTTTATGATAATTAATATAGTATAATATATAGACGTCATTATGAAAACCCTGAACAAAATTAACAGACCTGTTCTATGTAACTAACCAAGAAAAAAAGTTTTGATGACAAAGTTTCAGGGTAAAATATTAAATTGTTGTGATAAAGTATTTTGACGAATTTCGCCAGAGGAAATAGAAGAAATTCCTCCTCACACAGTATCCTGCTTCATAAAATGAATTCAGATTATTGTTATAGGGATAAGATTTGAAGAATAGAAAAAAAAGGGAATTAAAACCACCGACCACTATTGTGTAATATATAGTCATTTCAGTTAGAAGTTAAAACTAAACATTGTCCATCTATGTGTCCAATTTGTCCAAAATCCACTTCATATACTTTGCCAGCCTAGTATAAATGGCAGGCACGCCATTGGTACCACACTGTCTACGTCCGTAGGAAACGATCCCATGCTGTACAAATCTGACAGTTCCTCCTAATTTTTCTTCGATTTTCAGAGGGCCCCCGCTATCGCCTGCACAAGAATCTACGCCGCCACTGCCACCGGCGCAGATTTGTGTTGCTGTCGGCGGTATTTTTTTGAAAATTTTCTGGCAGTCAGATAATTTGAGAACAGAGACGAAGGCTTTTCGAAGTATCGAACTTTGGAAACCTGAAATGAAACGTATAAATCAGTAGGAATGAATTTCAAAATGGATAATCTGTTCGAAATATAGAATTCAATTCATTCAGTCGGTACACATTGAAATCGGTCAAGCAGGTAGTCATCACAAGTCATCCCTGTAGAGAAACACGAAAAACTTTGGGGCAAATACATTGCTGGAGACATAAAGAGAGAGAGAAAAAGAGAGAGACATAAGCGTAAGCGTAATATATCAATCAACGGCGGAAGAAAGAAAAAAGCGTTGATTGATATATATCACACTCCCAGCGTAAGCGTAATATATCAATCAACGAAAAAAGTAAGAGGAAGAGAAAAGAGAGAGGCATTGGGAGAAAAAGAGGGAAGAAATACCAGTGGAGCAAGTATTTATAGGACCAAATTATGAAACTGAATCAAACTTGATAAGAATCTCATAATAGTTATTCTTGCTATACATATATATTTCTCAGGCTCAATAATTGATACGTAATAAACGAGTTACCAACGAGGAAGGCTTTGATCAACTAAAAAACTAGACAATCATATTTAAGACGTGACATTGACAACTGAGTAAAATCTAACAAGACAGTACAGAGGATTCAAATCATTCTTCCCCTCATTGTCCACTTCGAAATTTTGGAGATAAGCAGGGGGCCTTCTGTTTCTATGAGACCTCCGAGGTTCCTCTTACTCTGCCGGTGCCTCATCAGATTCCTCCTGTGACGAAATTGAAGAACCTGGCAAACTGAGCTGTTCAGTTTCTTCAGAAGGAAGACATTCCTCAGAGTGATCTCATTTGTCATCGATAATTGGTAGTGGTGCCAATCGTCTATTAGACACCGTCACTGTTTCGCCATCGTTTCGTCTGATGAAAGAATATTGGGGATTGCTTTCGAGGTGTTCTACTTCCTCGACTATTGGATCTGTCTTCGAATGGCGAACGTTCTTTTTCATCAGTTGTTTAATTAATTAATTACATACTTTATTTATATCACACTCAAACATAGATATGATATAAACAACGATATAAACCGATTTACGTCATATCTAAGTCATATCGTAGTTATATCCCAACATCCCGAAGATTTGATCCGGATTTCTTGCTTTGATATACTCAAAACAATGGCTCGCAATCTTGCTCTATGCTCGCCTAGAGTTCAAATTTTCAGAACTATATGCTTGGGCGACGTATATTCCTATATCTTGTCTCATCGACGTTGATTCTCGAACTAATATATTGGCATTGACGGTCCAGATAATAGGTTATTTCATTTACTCAGATTTGCTGGGCGTGATCGACTAAGTACAATTTTATGTATAGGGATGTTTAAGCAAAACCTCCAAGAAGGATTTTTTTTTCGAAACCCAAATGATATACTATCGTGGACCTGGTGGTTGAGAGCGCTATGTAGTAGTAGTAGTAGTAGTAGTAGTTTATTCTGTGTGATAAAACAAAAAAAATCATATACATTCGTCAAGCAATATACAATAAAATATAGAATACATGAATCAATGAAAGTGAAATATAAAATACAGACATATTTCAAAGCACACACATACACAGGACATGATAATATTCTGAAAGCATACATTGAAATGTTTATAAAATTCCTCGATGTTGTAGAACACATTTTCTCTCAGGAAATTCTTACAATGATTCACGAACTTTTCCAAAATCAATTCCCTCCATTCTTTTGGTAGACTGTTAAAACATTTAAAGGACTGGTATTTGTAGGATTTGAAGTTTTTATTGAGTCTAAAAAGTGGCAGTTGATAGGGTCTATGTCTCGTTTCATACCTGTCTTGTTTGTTATAATGATTGGTTTTCTATTGCATATTTTAGAGCTTCAAAAATATATTTATTTGTAGATGTTAAAATACCAAGCTCCTTGAACAAGGCTCTGCAAGGTTCTCTGTAATTTGATTTTGAAATAACACGCACGGCTCGTTTTTGTAATAATAGTATTTGTGTGATGAATTACCCCACAGTAGAATGCCATATGACATTATACTGTAAAAAAGAGCATGATAGGCCATAACCACGTGCTCTTTGTCTATTATGCTAGTTGAATTCTTCAGGAGAAATACAATGCTCGCAAGTTTGCTATACATAGTTTGTCTATATGTATTGTATCCAAGTCAATTTATTGTTCATGTGAATTCCTAGATATTTCACAGAGCTGTTTAGAGATGTAACCATTGGATTCAGGCTGAAATTTGATATCATAGATTTTTCTTCATTCACGCAGAGTTGAATTGAGTTGAAATAGTTTTTAGCTTGAGAAATCATATCTTTCGAAAGTGTTGTTGTGTTTGAACCAGTTTTGCATGGTGCTATCAAAGTTGTGTCATCCGCAAAGATCATTCCTTCGTGCTCAATATGATTTGATATGTCGTTCACGTAGATAATAAATAAGATCGGTCCTAAGATAGAACCTTGAGGTACACCAAAAGCTAGTGATCTAACTGATGACACATCTTTACCGTTCTGGATGTACTATGTTCTTCCAGTACGATATGATTTGATGAATGATAGTGCAGTGCCTCTTATACCATAGGATTTTAACTTATATATCGACAGGTTATGAGATACACAGTCAAAGGCTTTACTCAGGTCGAGGAACGTGGCCACTGTAGTATTCTCTTCCTCCATCTGATCAGATACAAAGTCTACAAGTGCAATGATTGCTTCAGTAGTGGACATGCCCGCTCTGTAACCAAACTGCCCTGGATTCAATAGTTCATATTTTTCCAGATAATTGACTAATCGTTTTTTATATGCTTTTTCTAGAATTCTTGATAGTACAGGAATAATGAATATAGGCCTATAGTTATTAACAGAACTCTTATCACCTTTTTCAAAGATAGTTGTTACACATGATAGTTTTAGATTATCTGGAGAAATACCTTTTTCAAGACATTTATTTACAAACTGTGTCAATTGGTCAAGTATGATATCTTTTATGAATTTCATTGCATCACTATTGACTTCATAGCAGTCTAGATTTTGAGTTACTCAAGTCAGTTATTATTTCAATGACTTCAGATTCTGTGACTGGTGAGAGGAACAGGGAGTTTGGGACGCAATTTCTATTTGGTTCATCTGACGAGTGGTTGATGCTGGTAGATATATTATTTTTTTCTAAAGTTTGTTCTGCAATATCGGGTGGTCACAAAAAACCGGAAGTTTTTATTTTCCTCGTGGTTTCATCATTTCTTAACCGAATTCGAATTTCTTGGCGTCGTTTCATAGCTAAAGGGCTATAGTATACAGTGGAATATTTGAAAATTTCATAATGAACAAAAACAAAATGGCGGATTCTACTAAAGTATTGTCATTCACAAAAACCGCTAGAGAAAAAGAAAATCAGATTTTTTCCAACCTGTACCGATTTCATCTTAGGCTATTCATTTCTGAAGAGAATGAGTACTCGAACATCGAAATCGAACAAATAGTCCAGTATAGATACACTCATTTCTTTGCAATTTGTTATGGAGTGAATGTGCTAATCTCGTATAAACGATTATTATTATTTTGCTTCAGGCTTCATGAAAATTCAATTGAATTTGGATTTCTTAGAGTTATTTCGCAAATAAAGAACTGTAGTACACAATGGAACATTTTAAAATCCAATAATTGAAAAAAAAACAAAATGGTGGAGTATCCATCAGAATTTTTGTGATTTTCAACAATCTCTGGCGAATAAAAATTGTTTATTCTCCCAATCAGGACCGATACAATTTTAGATCATTGATTTCTAAAAAGAATGAGCACTGGAACATCTGAATCGAACAATTAGTCCAGGAGAAACACGTTCTTTTTGGCGAAGTGTTATGGAGTGAATGTGCCAATAGCCTAAGATGACATCGGTACAGGTTGGAAAAAATCTGATTTTCAAATATTCCACTGTATACTATAGCCCTTTAGCTATGAAACGACGCCAAGAAATTCGAATTCGGTTGAGAAATGATGAAACCACGAGGAAAATAAAAACTTCCGGTTTTTTCCTGACCACCCGATCGATAGTTGTAAGAAATGTATTCAGTTTTTCAGATGAAATTTTGTCTTGTTTCTGATTAATTTTACGATTCTTATTTACAATTTCCCATGCAGTTTTTTGTTTATTGCTTGAATTTACAATTTTTTGAGTGGTGCTAAGTAGTACGTAAGGAGAGCCCCAATGAGGGAGTGTATTCTTGCCAGTGCTGCCACCATCGAGGGAATATAATTAAAAATAGTTGGTATATTTATGTTGCAGAAGTACATGCACTGGTTTTCCTTTTGACACTTACCGGTCTCAGTAACACCCCAACCAGAAATAGTAACAAATTTGCCAGTTAAATCCACGTCTTTGGTTGGCAAACAAATCGGTTGAACGTTATCTAAAAGATGATTGATCAAATTATCATAAGGTTGGTAAAAAAGTTTATGCAAAGTCAGTTAGAACAACACATCAAATGGGCGGTACGTCGGTCCCTCTGAAAGTTCAAAGAGAATGGCAGCGCGGCTCGACTTTTCTTTGATGATCTGTTTTAACTGACTTTGCATAAACTATATAATATATTGTAATGATATCAAAAAACCATATAGTGTGGAGAAATTATCAATTGTGATGTCACTCTACAAGAAATTACATTCAGGAGGAAATCTATTCCTTGGACTTCCTTCAGTAAATTGTGGTATGGAATCAGGGTGATTCAAAATTTGAATATTTTGAGTGTCATATATGTCATGAGCACCGTCACTGACAGGACCACTGATGTGAGTGACATGACAACTAACATGAGTGACAGACAACTGACGTCACTGTCATGTCAGTCACAAGGAAGTAACGAAATCGATAGCGACATGCCAGTAGAAAAAGCAGCACATGGTGATGAACATAACTCGAGACACAATAAAATATAATCCATTTCATACAACCAATATTATTGCACACATAACTGAATACCCTAGAATATAACATTGAGGCCGTAGGTATTATTGGAATCAATAAAATAAGACTTTTTCCAAATTAACATATGCCCTAAAATGCATTCTCCCAAGCTACAGCAACTAAACTGTAAGTTGCGTGAAAATAGAAGATCAGGTACCTATCTAAAGTGACTATACAGGGTGTTTCACAAAATAGTGAAAATAGTATTTTCCTCGCTAAGGTAAATAGTACACTGTAAAATGAGTTGGGTATGCTCAGCAGAAAAATGTCGTAATAGTATCTGTTTCCAAGATACAAGGTGTTGAAGAAAAAGTTTTACACATTTTTTACGATTATGTCGAAACTACTGGCTACATTGTGATGATTTTTTGTATGGATATATTCTGGAAACTGACACATCACATGAATTTGTTTTCATATCTGAAGTTAGACGGTTCGTACCAAGTAATTTTAAAAGTAAATTTTTCAATTTAACTCCAACATGGTCCTCTTGATGAAACCCAATACTGTGTACCGTTTGTACATAGCTGATGCTGTAAAAATACGAGTAAAAATATGGTACCCTATACCTACCATAATATTTTTCATATTATTCTTATTATTGTTTCTCTCATTTGAGTTAAACATCACAAGTAGATGTTAAAAAAAGGGTATTTTTTATCGAAATATATATTTTTTGGGGAAATTAGGAGACTATTTTTGTTACACAGCAGACTTTTAAAATCGATCTCAGAAATGGTGAGAAACTAAAGAAGAGTAAAAAAGTACTTCTCCGATTTGAACGTTTTTTGTTTCGAATTAATGGTTATTTCCTTCTGGACATTGGTTTGCGAACTGTATTCGCATAAAAACCCATTTTTAGGTGTTCCCCAAGGCATATAACCTCCAGAAATTCAAGGAGAACATCAATTCCTACCTTATTTCCCTTTGGTTTTCACGATGTTCTCTGAACATTACAGGATATCCCTTTTCGTGGGAACCGAGAACATAAAAAAAACGGGATTAGCAATTACAGCGTGTTTTATTCATGAAATTCAAAATACCCTGTAGAGTGTTATTGTTACACTAACGAGTTAGAATTGAGTACACACTCAAGCCTCATATTTTTTCAACATTTCTCTTCTGGATTCACTCCATTATCTTTCCTATTACTCGAGGAATACCATTTCATAGCGTAACATGATTTTGTGGAAAATTAATATCCAAAAAGGGTCAGTAGCGAGTATTTCCGCCGCGGGCACGAAAAACTTCTTGGCAAAGACGGCCTTCACCCAAAATAAGACACCTAATGTCATATTGGTCCAGATCTTCCCAAATTTGAATCACCAGTCTCTGCGTGCGTTTCCCAAAGTATTCAAATTACGTTCCTCTTTCTCTGGCATTATCTCGCATCAACAAAAATCCTTGCACTATATGTTGTTTCAAAATCACCGATATGTACCTTTCTTCCATTTCTGATCACAAGTTCCATGCGACCAGTCAGAGAAATGCCTTCTCAGAACATAGACTGTTACTTTCGTGCTTATATAAAACCTATTGAATTCAGTAAAATTATGTTATGCTATACAATTGTGTTTCTGGAGAAATCGGAAATATATTTGAGTGAATCTGAAGAAAGAATGTTGAAAAAAGATAAGGCCAAGGTGTACTTTCAATTTCAAGTTGATAACGTAACTGTTACACACCACAGAGTATTACAAATTTTGTGAAGAAAACACGCTATAAGTTACACCCGGTATTCATAAAAAAAAATTCTTATGCGAATACATAGTTTACACACCAGTGTTCATAAGGAAATAACCTGTCAATCATATCCGAAAACGTCCAAATATCAAATATCAAATACAAAGTGTATCTGGCCCATGCAAGAACAATATTGAAATAAGGCTGTATACAAACCTGTAAAATTTGCTGGTACAGCGAGTTTTATCATGGCGATATCATTCTTCCAACCCCTTCTACTGTAGTCAGGATACACGAAAATATTTTCTATAGGAATATCTTGAGGTAATGGTGCACAATAAAGTGTGTTCTTATCACAGTCTTCTGTTTTATCCACGTCGTATTCTCCCAAACGAACGCCTATTCTGGAATCAAAAAACAAACTTTCTATATATTCATAAAGAATGAGTATATGTCCCATTACTTACATTGTAGAATCTAAAATGCAATGTGCAGCTGTCAGCACGAATCTATTACTGATAAGAGTCCCAGCACATTTGAAAATGGCATCACCATCATCTTCATCTGAAAATGCAAGAATCTAAGATTACATGAATTAAATTCTACGAGTGAAATAAATTCTCGATTTTATTCTCTCGACAAGATAACATTATAGGAGATAGAGTAGATACCAATTGAAACAAGAATTTTTTAAAGTGAAAGATGCTCACCTGTTCGGTATGCAATCAAAGCCATCCATGGGAATTCATTTAGACCTGTGGTCCTCCCATTTGTTATCCTGGAACTTAAGAGCTCTGTCATCACTGGTCCACAATTCCGGGGCAACATTTTATAATTTGGATGCATCATCAAAGATTCACTAAAAGCATCTGTCATTGTGGCTTGATCGTTTTTCTCTTTTAACGCTGGTGTCAAACTATCGGTAGTTGCGTTACAACAGACATAAGGAATATTTTCGATAGCGCCACAGTGGTGTCTTCTGATGATATTGAAGACCGCTCTTGGTAGCGGTCTTGGGCTATTCTGGATCAGGGTATCAAAGAAAGGGCAGTGTCGTAATTTTATACAGCGTTCTCCCATGGAAGACTTGCAGCTTCGAGAAATGAAACCTATATTCATAAAAATTATAATTATATTATAATGCGTTATTCACTAGCAAGTACGCCATTGGATTCATCGTAGATTTCTCTATATATATACGTACAGTCGTAGTCAATAAAAAAATGTACAAGTATTAAACATAGATTTCGGCATCCTAGTTTTAGTTTTGTGAAACTGGCTCGGGCAATGCTTGTGTTTTTGAGAACCTATGATTACTCTACTGTCAATATTTGGTAAAAATTCATTCCCGATAGCCCGTTTCACGCAAATAGGATGACGTTAATTTCTTTCTCAAATATACTTGTACGGTTTTTTTAATACGACTGTACTTCTCAGTGCAATATTATTTCAGATAGCTTCGTAGATGGGGCCCTGTAAGTGAAAGTTATCAAGATCGCCCTGTATCTCGTAAACGGAAACAGTTACATGAAAACTCTGATCAGTCAATTTCAAGTTTCATGAAAAATTAGGTCAAGAACGTGATCTATAGAAACAACCGAAAACACTAGCAGTTTCCACCAAAATGAGAAGTACTGTACAGTGTGTCCAGTGTTCAATGCTTTAGTGCGATATCTCAATTATCTTTGGAGATAACGAGTGTTGCGGTGTTCACCTCACTATCGTACGAATAATAATGCCGCAAACAGAAAACGTTATCCTGACCACATATCTATTGAGAAAATCGAACGACTAATGAATTATTATATCTGAATTTCTGGGATTTTCTCTCCTCGTTTCTATAAAATAAAAATATGCGTTTTACTTCAATATATTCCCGGCATATCTGAAAAAATTAAACGTGATGGTGTTCAAAACTGAAAATACAATGAGATCCATTCTAACTCAAACAAAGCCAAAAAATGAAGAACAATCATCGAAAAATTGTATTTATACTATACCTTGTGTTTATGGAGAGTATTATACAGGTGAAACGAAAAGACCTCTCTCAGTAAGGACTAAATAACACAAGTACAATATCAAAAAGAGACATAATCATCGATAAATCGAAGCTAACTGAACATATCCTTACTGAAGATGGACAACATATTATGGCAGAGTGGAATAATATCAAAATCATAGGAAAGGAAGATAACAACCAAAAAAGAAAAATCAAGGAATCCGCTTTCATTCTTCTGAATGGAGACAATAGCATTGCTGCCTGTTCAGTTGATATAGATAAAACATGGTATTCAGTACTGAAAACTGAACATGAAAATGGTAGAATCAAGATCAATTAATGAAAACAGCCTGAAACTCATTTGTAGACTGAAATCACTCATTCATATGCCAACATCAGTATGACACTGAAAAGTGTCAAACTATATAAGCAGCACAACTTCCAAACAGAGATATTTTGCATTTTTATGTTGTGAACGGAGCAGGTTCGTTCCCGAAACGTACAAAGATAAGAAAAAATTAGATATTTTTTCAATATATCTATATTTCTTTCCTTCAAACATTTATTCAAACAAAGTGTCTCTGACAAACTACTGGATTCTTCTTTTAGGCTCCCTGATAGAAAAATTTGTTGAACGCAGTGACATTTTGGGGCAAATCATCTGATTTGTCCCACTACGAATATATTGAAATAATACGCATATTTTTATTATATATAAGCGAGGGGAGAAAATTCTAGAAAATCAAGTAAAACGATTAGTAATGTATTGATATATTTTCTTACTTTTATCTGGTGACATTTCTTGTGGTTTCGGTTGGTTTTTGCGAAATACTCGATTGAAAATGGTGGGCTCATTCCATAGATCTTCTTCGTCCTGGTCAATCATGTCTGGTGGGAGTTGTGGGTAACTTGAAAAAGCCTCGGTTCTGTTGCAACATGTATAAAAACCACATTGTTGAACTCCCATCGCATTAATGTATGGACTTCCATTTGGAAGTTGATCCGCGCATTTTCTCAACTCCAGGCATACTTGGCCTTTTGGAATCTTGCAACTTATGTATTTAGGAAAACCTGGGAGACATTTAAAGAATAAAAATTTAGTTTCCTGTTATATTCGCGATAGAAAATAGGCATAAGCTACCTATCTTCGTTTTTGAATGCTGTAAGAGTGGTCGGTTTATTATTTTTACATTTAGTTTTTGATGGTTATGCTGGTCTCATGCACCAAAAAAAAACCGTTCAGAAGTGTTCAAATTATTGCCATCTTGTTATTTGTTATCGGAAATTTCAGTATGCAACGATAAGTGCACCATCTTATCAAAAATGAATTAATAAAATATGATTTGCCGTTCTTTCACGAGGCCTATGGGATGAGTGATAGTCGTAGTGCTAGTCCGTTCCTGCTCTCTTAGAGAAGTTAGATCTGCACCAGCTAGTTGATCTCATCACTCATCAGCAGGTCAGCGTTCATGATTGTGGTCGTAGCCAATTTCATTCGAATGGAAATAACCGTAAAATCCGTAAATATTCTTACAGGACACCCTGTACCACGGGTGTGAAATCTTATCGTTCTATTTGTTTTTCAACGCATTATCAACGTTTCATGGTTCCCAAAATAATAAGTTTGGAGATACCAGATTTCACTTCAATAAAATAGTAAGAAAAAACTTACTAATTATGAATTGTCCTCCTGATAAAACCAAGCAAGTCAGCCACATGCACAAAAACAACGAAAAAGCTTCACAAGATGCCACTGTATACATATTGTTAACCAAATGTGGACTCAACAGCTGATGGAATTCATCTTCAATACCGAGTGAATGCTGAATATTTGTATCAACTTTAATATGTACAGGGTGTCGAACGTAAACTTTCATGTAAAAATATTAAAGAATTTCCTGTGAACTTGAGTCCTAGAAAAGTACGGCATTTTTTCGAAGAGTAGATGATGAAAATGCCGTTCCACATTGAAAAATGCCAGCCATTCAAAAACTGATGACTAGACTCTGAATTGCACCTTCACGCCCAGTCGTGTATACAGGGTGCCCGTAATTCGATCTCGAAGGCAAAGTTGCGCATCCTATAATGGTGAACAATAATCTGAAAAATCTCACCTACTTTTCTTAGTTCTCAAGATATCACCGAAAAACTGAATTTCGCGATTTTCGTTCTTATTTTTTCAAAGGAAAGCCGATCAATAAGTTTTTAACCAAAACATTCTCAGAGCATTTTCTTGCAGAGAATTTGAAAATGATATTGAATTTTTCCTAACACACGAAGAAAGAAACAGACAACAGTTAATTTTTTTTTCTTATGGACGCCATTTAGAATTTTCATATTTCTGAACACAGCATTTTTTCTGATTCCGAGTATTTCGACGATGTACTACTCAACATGTTTTGGTTTCATATCAGGTTCGGAATTTTCTAATTAAAATATTTTCGAAGATTGCCATTAAAACAAATTTGTCGAATTTGTTGATTTCGAATTGCGACAGTTCAGTACACTTCTAACGCTAGAAGTTCACTCTATTGGATGGCAAAAGGTCATTTTCCAATGAAGAACAGAAAAATATGTTGGAAATTCATTATGCTTGTCATCGAAATGTTCAAGAAACAAGTGAAACATATTTACAACGTTTTGCTGAGACATCATCAACCAAATTTTGGATATTTCCTAGGTCTCCATGAATCTGGATCGATATGGTTCATTTTGGCGGCCCAGACATAAATATGGCGAGAGAGCTGATGATGTAGATAGATAAAACATATTATGAGCGGTAAAATCTAATATATAAGAAGACGATGTATCGAAAGAGCAATTGCAAATGTGAGAAAACGTGCAGAATCATGTTTAATGATGGAAGGTGGACAATTTGAACAACTTCTCTGATTATTTATATTTTGCTCTTGATTTATTCGTTCTGGTCGGTTCACATTTATCTGTTAATTGGATGAATAAATTCTCAACATATTATTATCCATCTGTTCTTCATTTGAAAATGGCCTCCCTCTGAAGATAATATCCGATGAACCAGTTTCGAACTCAACATGTGGATTAGAATACTTTCAACAAGGGCGAAATATTCACCAAAAAATTGACGCTCTACCACTAACTTTTAGATTCGCGGCAAGTTTGGTGGTTTTTGAGATCTACCATCCAATTGGTATCAGATGATGGCATAATTTTCATATCAAATCTTGAAATCGAGTGCAAATTTTCAGTTTTTCAATCATTTTGCTCAGGATAGTAATTGGCACAGGTGTCAAAATCGACAATTTTATATTGTGCAACAAGTGGGGAAAGTTCAACTCTTCTCACGAGCGTGAAAGTTTGTGGCACGAGCCTGAAGGGCGAGTGATGCAAACACACGAGTGAGAAAAGTACTTTTCCCCACATGTTGCACACTGTACTTTTTCTACAACTGCAATTATCCAAAGAATCCAAGTCATGTTACTTATTGGTATTCATTTTATAATGTGGCTCTATGCCACATTGAATATTGTGACCAAAGAGTAGACGCCTCTCCTAGTTCCACAAAGTATTTCAAAAAAGTACAGTTTCCGAAAAAGCTTTTATTTCTGTATTCTTTTTAGCCGGAAAATAATCCAACTTTCGCAGCTGTTTCCATTATCTCTGTCTCTGGCGGTGTATTTATCAAAATCGTCACATCTCGGTATCCACATCATATTATTCATTATGAATTGTTGGAATAATATTAAATTTGATAGAGACTGCGATTTCTGTCGAAAGCACTATTGAGAACTAACCTAAAGAATTTGAAAAACTTCTTCTGGCAGTTGTGACAACTATTCAGAGCTGAACACCAGCCAATTAAGTTTTGGTCGATTTTTGTTGATTCTCCATGGAAATGTTTGTGTTGTTGGCAAAGTGCCGTGAGAAAAAATATTTACATGGTTTTGAAGCTAAGTAAACTATGAGAAATGCGAAACTTTTCTTAGCAGTAGTAGAACAATTTGTTTTCATGACAATCTTCAAAAAAATGTAAATTAGGAAACTTAGACCAAAATATGAAACCAAAACACGTTGTTTAGTATACATCGACGAAATCAAGGAAAAGCTGTATTCAAAAATATAAAGAGTCAATATGAACTCCATAAGAAAAGAAGTTGACTGTCGTTTGTTTCTTTCTTCTTGTGTTAAAAAACGTAAAATCATTTTCGAAATTTCTTCAAAAAACTGCTGCTTTCGATATAGATGTTCCTCAGAAATGGATACTTTGGCTACAAATGGATTTATTGAGAAAGTACCTCACGAATGCCCTAGTTAATATACAGTGTGTCCCACTTACCATGCTCACCATGGGTATCTTTTTAACGGTGAGAGATACGAGGTCGGTTAAATGACACCAAATGTGGAGTTTGTCAAGGCCAACTATAATGTGAAAAAATATTCTGATAAAATCTAATCGTTTTTGTTTTATACGCAAAAAACATATTTTGATCATTTTCATGTTTCCTCCGTAACTTCTTTATTTATGAAAATATTCAAATAGGAATATCACATTCTCTGGCAGTTTTTTAAGGGGATTTCGAAAAAAATATTGAATTTATACCAACTCTTCTAGAATTTGAGATATCAGCACCAACTTTAGTTTTTCAAATGTAGGTCATAGAGCTCACTATGACTTAGTTACAAATAACTTTTTTTTCTCTTACAGATGATATGTCGCAGTTATAGTTTTGTGTTGATAACAACGGAGTTATCGTCATTTATACAAAAACAAAAATTATTTGGAAGCCGCCATCTTGAATTTATAAATTTTAACAAAAAAATCATGATCTCCGACCTCAAAAACCCATACTTACCAATTTTGAATGGAATCGGACCAAATCTTGTCCGTCATCTTGGGGCAGCCATTTTTTCAAATTTCAACAAAAATTTCATAACTCTGATTATCTTGAAATTCGTCAGTTTTTCATAATTCCGGTGACAATACATTATGGAATTCTTGTTGAAATTAAAAAAAAATGGCTGCTCCAAGATGGCGGACAAGATTTGGTTCGATTCCATTCAAAATTGGTAAGTGGGGGTTTTTGAGGTCGGAGATCATGATTCTTTCGTTAAAATTCGAAAATTCAAGATGGTGGCTTCCAAATAATGTTTTGTTTTTGTATAAATGACGATAACTCCGTTGTTATCAACACAAAACTATTTCTGCGACATATCTTCTGTAGGAGAAAAAAAAGTTATTTGTAACTAAGTCATAGTGAGCTATGACCTACATTTGAAAAACTAAAGTTGGTGCTGATATCTCAAATTCTAGAACAGTTGGTATGAATTTAATATTTTTTTCGAAATCACCTTGAAAAACTGCCATGAGAATGTGAAATTCCTATTTGAATATTTTCATAAATGAAGAAGTTACGGAGGAGACATGGAAATGATCAAATTCTGTTTTTTGCGTATAAAACAAAAACGAATAGATTTTATTAAAATATTTTTTCACATTATAGTTGGCCTTGACAAACTCCACATTTGGTGTCATTTAACCGACCTCGTATCTCTCACCGTTGAAAAGATACCCATGGTGAGCATGGTAAGTGGGACACACTGTATACTTGTGCACTGATAGATGGTCTAAAGAGTCTGAATAACACCCTGTGCCAATACTGCATTCGTGGTCTAATAACTATAGGTATTCATGTAGGAAAATGCGCGAACGACTCAAGGTGCCTATACAGGTAGATCGATAAAGGGTTTCCATACCGACTGTTCCCAGACCCTTATAAACAAAAATTTTAGTGAAGGTGTTAAAGTGCAATGTACAATCACACCTCATCCGTTTTCAATCATTCATGTTTGAAAGTTCCCAGAAATCCGAAGTTCAACGAACCTCTACCAGTTTACGAAAAAGAATACGAGTACGTTGCGGAGAATAACCGAAACAAGATTACATCAGGACAATCAGATGATATGTCTAAGAAGAAATTTAATGACAGGGAATCAACAAGGTCATTCTTGGAATTTTTCAGTAATATTCCCGAGTACGATGACATAAATCATTTGTCGAACAAAGAATTCTATAAGAAACTGGAAGCGCTAAAGGAGAAACAAAAATTCTTCGAAGATAACCTACACAACGAAATCAAAATTGATAGCAAAGACTCAGAATGGATAGAAGACTACAAAAATTTGAAACTCGGTGCTAAAAACCTAAGAGACTTCAACACCAAGAAGAAACCGAACCTGAAGCCGTTCTGTACCACACCAATCCTCAAATGCTCTGATATGGACTTCGAAATTCTTTCAGACAAAGAAATAACCAATAAACCCCCATCGAGAAGATCGGTCAGGATAGAAACGCCCAGTGAAAATTTCACTCCAGAGCCGAATTTTAGAGCAAAATCAAGGGCCAATATTTCGTCAGCTGGATCCAGACCTGGGGGAAACTTGACCGATTGGGAAGATTTGAGCATGGAAAATTTGAATTTGCATTCAGAACGAAGTACTCCTTTATCAACAGAAACTAGGAGTGCTCCAAGTAGTCCTTCAAGAACAAATAGGGTCGATACTAAAATAAATGAATGTGGTATAACGATACCTAAACCATTCCAAATGACAGTTCGGTAAGATATATAATAATAATAATAACAACTTTATTCACAAAAAAATAATAAACAAGTAAATAATTGAACCAGAATACAGTTGTGAATAAAATATACTCGATAAGTGACAATCCATTTGTTCCGAGATAATAATAAGTAATACTAATTAACTAAATAATATAAATAATAACAACTTATACTTATCGAATAAGATACCTATATAAATTACAGATAGTGTGAAAATGACAATAAGGAAAAAAAAAAAAAAGACTAATAAAACTTCGAATAAAACAACACAAAAGTAATTAAATCAATTGCTATATGACTACAAGATATAATTATCACAAGTAGAATACAGGTTGCATGAAAAAAATTATATAATCAAAAAGTTGGAATACACATAGAAAAGTAATGCATAATATATATATATATATCTTTGATGCAACCATCAGTTAAAATAACTATTAATTGTGCTAGGTATGTACGTGGATTAATGAGGATAAATTCCCTTATGCTCTTTTTGAAAGCAGATATATGCGGGATATTCTTTATGTTTTCTGGTATCGTATTGTACAGTTTTGGTGCGAAATAAGAGTATGATCTTTGGGAAATAGTTTTGAGCATCAATGGTGTGACGTAATGATGTTTTTGACGAGTGTTATGATCATGATGTGGAAGCTGTGAATATTTTCTATTCACGTGGTACTTATTGCCGACGCAAAAGAAAAAGAGCTGTCTCAAATCTAGTATTTTAGAATCTTTGTAAAGTTCGTCGGTTGGGTATCTGAAATTCTTGACAAATACTAACTTTAAAAATCTTCTTTGAGTAACTTCCAAAGAATGAATGTGAGATTTCAGACTTGCTCCCCATACAACAATTGCATATCTGAGATGGCTTTCAACTAATGAAAAGTATAAGGTTTTCAGATGCTCAATTGGTAACATATCTTTCAATTTTCGCAATTTGAATAAAATACTTCTTAACTTATTCGTTACATATGATATATGGAGATTCCATTTCAAGTGTGAATCGATTATTACTACTAAATATTTGATTTTGTTGTCCGGTAGAATGTAGAAGATATCTTCTCCAATGCTAATTTCTAATTGGTTGAAGGAAGGGGTATCTATCGAATTACAGCTGAATGGTAAATACAGTGTTTTTTCAAAGTTTACTGTTAATAGTTTATTACTATCTGGATACTTCTTTATATTCGAAAAATCTTTCATATGATACAATGATAACTATCTTTTTTCCACCACTTTTTTATACCTATAGAATCTACAATTATTCACCCTATATTAATTTATTTATTTATTAATTCATTCATTTATTTATTTGTAGGAATGCAAACAGGCACAGTCCAGATATTGCATTCACGAAATACTTAGTACAAATTTCAACTAAGTTTAAATCTAACCTTCCTATGTTAAAAATACTTATAATACCGAAAAAAAAAATACCGAGCTACTTGTAGATACAATGAATATTGAAAATAAATGACATCTATAACAATTTATATGACAGAATGCTTCGTATTGCAGTTTTGAAACTATACATAGATGCATAAAATATGTCCACATTGGAAAATAAAATGTTATAAACGCTGTACATTCTGTGTAGGGGGGAATTTTGACAAGAATTAGTTCTGCAAAATGGTTCACTGAAGAGTTGATAGTTCCTCAAGTTTCGGGAGGGAGTTGTGAAACGTACTTTGGATACCAGTGCTGGAGAATCAACGAAATTATGCAATATTTTGAAAAGAAAAATCATATCCCTCCTAACCCTACAGCTCTCATCAGATATGGAACTAAATGTCGTTCTCAAATTTCTTGAAGAGAGATTATCTGCACCATTGACCTTGTAGTTGATTTTTTTGTGTGACGGGAAAAAAGTTTGGTATTTCATCTCTGTTGCGCAGGTTATAAAATGTCACTTTTCATAAATTACTTTTTCCCGTGGAGAAAAAGTGAGTATTTCTTTCCCGGATATATATCACATATATATACACTGTTGATGGCTTTTGTTGTGCTATTTTTCCGAAAAATGAGTCAATAATACCGTCTCCGAAAAAGAACTGCAAGTCCTTTTATCTTCCATTCGACTTCGCGATTACGTATATTACTGAACAACCACTTAATTCGCAATTTTTTGAAATCAAATCACAGAATTAGACTAACAGAAGTGACATCAGATATTTGATTATTTCAAAAGAATGAAAAAGATGCCTATAAATCAGGTGTCCCTACTGTTAAAAACTTAAAATTTCACGTCGATAATTTTCAGATTTCAAAATAATGTAATATTTTCTCAATATTGATTCGTCCTTTCTTCTGTCGCAGAAAAAAATAGTGTATTATACACGGGAAAAATATTAGATTTAATCTACTACTTTTTTCCCTTGCATAATAAATAACTATTGTATTCGTTCGATTTCGTTTTTATGTATGTTATGGTGTGGATTCCACATGATTATAACACTTAATCTGAATTCACTGTACTGATTCAAGATTCGCAGGAATAATGGCGCTCGAATCTAGTATGTATATATCAATAACGACTTGTCATAATTATGCTGTCATGATCGTGGCTGAGAGATTTTAATTAGAATTCAAATGAAGTGTTTCATATAGTGACATGAGTTCATGATAATTTCAGTTTCACATAACTATAAATATTGCAATATATTGCTAGTGATGGTGCGCAAAAATGTAATTGGTTTACCCCTTTGTAGTAAAGAAGCCTCTGGATATATTCTTGGTATATATCAGGGTAATAATGATATTTTTTCTGTGACGGGAAAAAAGTTTGGCATTTCATCTCTGTTGGCAGGTTATAAAATGTCACTTTTCATAAATTACTTTTTTCCCGTGGGAAAAAAGTGAGTACTTCTTTCCCGGATATATATCACATATATATACTCTGTTAATGGCTTTTGTTGTGCTATAGTTCCGAAAAATAAGCCAATAATACCGTCTCCGAGAAAGAACTGCAAGTCCTTTTATCTTCCATTCGACTTCGCGGTTTCGTATATTACTAAACAACTACTGAATTCGCAATTTTTTAAAATCAAATCACAGAATTGAACTGACAGAAGTGACATCAGATATTTGATTACTTCAAAAGAATGATGAAGATGTCTATAAAACGCAGGTGTCCCTACTGTTAAAAACTTGAAATTTCACGTCGATAATTTTCAGATTTCGAAATAATGTAATATCTTCCCAATATTGATTCGTCCTTCCTTCTGTCACAGAAAAAAATAGTGTATTATACACGGGAAAAATATTAGATTTTAGCTCACGGTTTTTTGTCTCCCTCCGCTACGCGTCGGGAGACAACACAACCTGGAACTAAAATCTACTACTTTTTTCCCTTGTATAATAAATAACTATTTTTACTACCTTGGTGTATGAAAAACTATTTCTCATACTTCTTTTTCGATATACCTGAGGCTGAAGCACCCCTAAATTTGTGAGTAGGTATACTATCAGGTAACATTCTTCAAATTCCACACAGTAGATATAATACATATAAATTTTACTTACATAATCGATAGATTTATTTTTGTTTGCACAGGGACGAAGAGAACAAAATAGTTGAGGAATTATTCGTCAAATTGAATAAACCTAAAGATGACAAACCACAACAGTTCAAAGCTCACGATATTCCAATAGAATCACAAATTCCTTTATTTGATAGAATAATGGCAGATCAAGAAAGGAGGTTTGTTTTAATATATGAAAACTCTTTTGAAATACACACACATATCTTGATGAAAGAAAACAATTTTTTTCAAGGAGTTTCATAATGAAAGAGAGAAGAAAGGCTGCTCTACAAGCCCAAATGAAACCATTTTCGTTTACAAAAAGAGACGAAGAAATTCAGGAATTGACAAGAGAACTTTCAAAATCATCTCCAAATTTGTATTCCGATCCACCATTGAGAATAAAAAAGTTCAAGGCAAAGCCAATTCCCAAAAACCTCTTTAGTAATTATATATACAGGAAAATGCATGAAGATGAATATTACAGGTGTGTTTTAGACCCCTCCAAACATTCAGAATAAGTTCATAAATTACAACTTGATTTTTCAATGCAGAGCTCTTCAGAAGAAAATAAGAGCCGAAGAAATGCTTCGAGCAGCATCTTTACCACCTTCAATGGCCAAAAGAGAAAAAACGAAACCAAAGGTAGACGTTTGTCCACGATCTTACCGCGATTGTCTAAAAGAGGAAAGGGCATCAAAAAAATCCAGAAGTATTTCGAATTTCAAGACTTATCATGATAAGATTGAGAAAGAATTAGAAGAATTGAAAAATGAATTTATATCCAGTCCGAGGCCATTCAAGCTAAAATCATCTAAAAGGGTATGTGAGTACTGTTTTTTAACAAACAATTCACCGGAAATGTTTTCAAGGTGAGGAGACATCAGAGACACTCCTCTGCTAGTAGCAAAAGTTCTTCTACAAAAATCACAACTCCATCTTCTTTTGATCTGCAATCAATAAGCAGATCCAATCTAGCAGCAGTCTTGCGTATACAATCTGCCAGGTAATTCAATTTCAAAAATATAGAAGCGATTTCGGGTTGATTATCTATCTATATACAGAGTGATATATGAAACCCATCAGCTAACCAAATTAGAAGATTGAATTGGAAAACTTTCTATTTACGAACTTCAAGTATAGGTAAGTACAGTCGTATTCAATAAAACAGCGTACATGGATATGAGAGGCCTCCAGCAATTGACACTTTTTCTAGGTAATATCCACAATATACAGGTTTGGCAAAAGAAATCTTGTCATGGGGAAGCCATCTATTGGAGTGAATTTTGCCTTGCATCAACGTATATGTATCACGTACGCTTAGTCGCATGTGTGCTATACGAGCTAAGTACGTATAATGGCAACGTCGCTTACGTAGCTTACGCCGCTTACGTCGCTTCCTCACTATTAGATACTCATGAATCTCTATACAGGGTGATTCACACAAGAACCGACATAGAGCAGGAGCATGTAGGGGGTCCCAAAATATTGCGATTTAACGCAACTTACCTCTATACCAAGTTGCTTCCCTAAGGAGTTATAGGCTTTGAAAGTGATGTTATAAATTTTGAAAAAAATCAATATCTCCGTTATTCTTGAACTTAAAGCAACCAAATTTGGTACAGTTTGTGGATGTATTTAGGGCGTTACTTGACAGTAATTAGAGCTCAATTGAAATTTGTAAAGGGGGTATACCGGGTGGCGCACCATTAAGATTCAACAGAATTTTGTTAACCCTTGATGGATTCCAAAAATATTTGCTTTGTTGTGTGGGCAATTCGATTCTAAAACTTTTCTTACTCTAGTAATTTTTCGAAACACCTCATCATCTTCATCAAAAACTCGAATAACTGAAAACGCGCGCTCTAGGTGTGTTATTTAAAATCATCGAAAATTCAAAAGTTGGCTATGAAAATAAACGCACAACAAGAAAGAAGGTCATTAATTGTGATCAGTAGAAATTGGCTGGCAAATTATCATTTAGATACGTAACAAAATACGTAAAGTAAGTACAGATACTGAAATGTGAAAAACTGGGATTAACAACTAACCAAAATAAACACAAAAAACTTGAACAACAACCAGAACAAACAATTGTTTATAGATAAATTACTTAATTGAACAACTCACTTGCTTCATTGTCAAGTTTGACGTTTATTTTCATAGCCAACTTTTGAATTTTCGATGATTTTAAATAACACACCTACAGCACGCGTTTTCAGTCATTCGAGTTTTTGATGAAAATGATGAGGTTTTTCAAAAAATTAATAGACTAAGAAAAGTTTTAGAATTGAATTGCCCACACAACAAAGCAAAGATTTTCGAAATCCATAGAGGGTTAACAAAATTCTGTTGAATATTAATGGTGCGCCACCTGGTATACTCCCTTTACAAATTTCAATTAAGCTCTAGTTACTGTCAAGTAACGCCCTAAATACATCCACAAACTGTATCAAATTTGGTTTTTTTGAGTTCAAGAATAACGGAGATATTGATTTTTTTCAAAATTTATAACATCACTTTCAAAGCCTATAACTCCTTAGGAAAGCAACTTGGTATAGAGGTAAGTTGCATTAAATTGCCATATTTTGGGACCCCCTACATGCACCTGCTCTATGTCGGTTCTTATGTGAATCACCCTGTATATGCGAATTTAATTCAATAGATGGTTTTTCCTATAAGAAGATTTCTTTTGTCAGGCGTAGAAAGGACATGCAACATTCTTTCTTGTCGTGAGTTTTTAAAATTTCACCTTGTATGGCAAATTATACATTGTTGATTGACAATCATATGAATACTTGGATGTGGATGATGGAAAAATTCTAGTCGATTGATTTTCGATTTTCACTAATTGAGTTTGTCTATTCCTATGAATATTATCTTGCCATCATAGAATGAAGTAGCCTGTTTGTGATACTCTTTTTCATTAGAATAGAATTTAGATTTGTGGGTTTATCAAGATATATTAATCTGCTCAGACTTAGATCACAAAAATGAAAGATATGCAAAGTACTTTAAACAGCAAAAATCAAATGTTTCACACCTAGAACTAGCCTTAGGATCGATCTCTCAATTAGAATATATGATGAGGTCTCCAATAATATTTCTAGAATATTTAAAATTCTGAGGAAAATTAGCCGAAAGCTCTTCTCCGTACAAAAGAGTCCGTTCAGCAATTTCTCTCCCTTCGCGTTTCTTTTATGGACAGTAATTTTAGGGACGACAATGTCATTATAAGAAAATATATATTCATGTTCAAAGTATTTTATATTTACCTCGATGAATCTGAGCCTAAAGCTTGATTTATTGCTGGAAGATTTTGGCTTTGACGATGCTAGCGATGAAACGTATAATAATATTATTGGTCAATAGTAGCTTAGCAATTCAAATGGACCGCTTCGCTTGGGTTATTGCTGGGCGATTTTGGCTCAGACTATGCTACCGATGAAACGAGTAATGGTATTATTGGTCAATAGTTGCTTACCAACACAAATTGACCAATGATAACGCCACCAGGTTTTTCATCGCTAGCATCGCTAAAACTAAAATCGCCTAGCAATAAGCTAAGCTTCAAAGCGACTCAAGCCTATGCGTCTCCTTGAGCGAGTTTTCGATCACATACGATCGAAGCGTTAGTCTGACGTCTGACAGTACCGCTCTGCTTCTCGCTAAGTTTATATCGCACCGGCAAAAGAAACAGCCACCAAAAAATTCGCCAAAATTGTTCACCCTGTAACTTTTTCATTCCTTGTCCGATTCTTCTGAAATTTTGATCAAATCGTATATTCATGTTCTGGAATTTCAGCCTGGATATTAGCTGCATTTACTTTTTCACCCTTTACTTCTTAACGCCCTGTGGCGAATTAGTGTGGTTGAACTTGGCTGCAGCATGCTTTCGATTCAAATGTAATCCCTTTTTAACACAATAATAGTCTTTAATTCACGTCAAAATCTTATTTTCAAGGGTAGTTAATAATAACGACTATGTCCTCCTCGAGTTTGAATTACAGCATTCAACCGCCGCGGCATCGAGTTGATCAAATTTATCAAGTAGTCTTCAAATATCTCCTAAAATTCTCCTTGAAGGGCGAATCGTAGCTATCAAAGAGTATCTGACAAGGCCGGACGAAGGCTAATAATCCTGAGGAGATTATTGAAATAAACCTTGTGTACCCACTTGAATCCTTGCCTGTTTTACAATTCCTTGATTTTCTCCAACTTCGATGAATATAACATGGCGTGGATGAATCTCGCTAAGTTTAGTCTGGTGCCGTACCAAAATTACAGGCATCAACGTGACAATTGTGACTGAATTGCGAACGAAAGGGTCATTTCATCAATCTCATGAGTTCATCCCTACGGTGATCTATAGGTTCTGAATTAATGTGTATAAAAATTCATAAAATCCATTCTTCCTCAAAACACTTGTATATTTTCTTAAAAAGAAGATAATAATATAGACGTGAATCTAGAACCATTGTGTTGATAAAGGACGAGAAAAGATCACACTTCAATTTAAAACACGATGATGCAGAAGGTTGGAGAATGCTTCTGAATTATATAAAAAAATCCATACTTTCTCAAAACACTTGTTTTATTTTCCAAAAAGTGGTTATCGTGAACTAAGAACCATTGTGTTAAGAAAGGATCACACATCAATCCAAAACATAATTAAGCTAAGTTTAACGATTCACCTTTGCCAGGCCAGACTTTTGTTTTTCCCTGTAAAATTATCGAGCCATCAGCTCTTCTTAGGAACCAATAATCAGATTTACATTCCGAAACATGAATATACGATTTGGTCAAAATTTCACCCTTATCGGACAAGAATTGAAAAAGTTACAGAGCGAACAATTTGGCAGATTTTAGGTGAAACTACAGGGAGTCAACTCTTTGCTTTGCCCGCTTCACCCGCTTAACTCGCTCAACCTGCTCAAGGAAAATTTGGATCGCCAGAAGGTCCTTTCATAAGAAGATCAGTAGGACCGCAGGTAAGTCGTCTTGCCGGCTCACGATGTATTTTTTTTTTGGGAAGAGTTCATTCGGTTCGCTCTTGGCAGTACAAAGTTCATTTGATTCAACTATAGCTCTGCTCCGGTAAAAGTGGAAATAACGAAGTTTTAGGCCACTTCTAGTGTACGTGGGAGTCCTAGAAAGTCGGTAATATGTTAGATGAAGAGCTTTCCTTCTATTCGGCGATGACCTTCAGAAGTTGTCAAATTCAATCCTCCAATTCGGCTAACTTACTGTCTTCATTGAGCAGCCTTCATATTTTTGTAGACAAAAACTGGAGACTGAAATGATGACGCAACTCGAAGAAGCCAAATTGAAGGAAGAAGCCAGGTGGAGAGAGAAACTGATGAGAAAAAAGCCGGTATGGCAAGCTCTAGCTTATAGCAATGAAGAAGATTTAGCCATGAGACTTCAACTACGAAGAGATGAGGAAAAACTTAGGAATGAAGAGCACAGATTGAGAATGCAGCTTATGCTGGGTAGGGTTAATCAACAGCCTACACTATTTGAGAGACAGACACAGGTAATTTATTCATTATACTTTATATGTTTTAATACACTGAAGAAGAAAGGACGAACATTTTCAGTTAAATTGTCAGAAAGCCAGAGACGATTCGTTGAGAGATAAAAACAATTCTGAAAAACATATGAGGAGATATTTGAGGGACTCTTCAGATTTCAAATCTTTAGTGGAAATGAAAGATGAGGCAATACAAGCGTTTCTGGATGACAACTTCAAATCTGAGGACACTAAAAGAAGCAAAGAAAGTGAAAGCCAGCAGGAAGAAAAGGAAAAATGTGACTCTTTCAGTGATGAAAACTATGATGATAATTGAATATGAAGAAAACGTAGTAAACTTATCCGAGTATTGAAACATTTTTTTGCAACAAGATTTTTACGCAATGAGTTATCTCTAAGACCGAATGATAAAGTAGTCTTTGACGCTGTGAATCTTAATACGAAATCAACATTTCCATGAAATGTCTTGTATTATTTGACAGCATTTGCGCTCGTGACTGAAAAAAAGTCACGAACCTATTCATGCATATAATGGAAGATACTGAGTAAACTATCAAACACAAATCTTCTGATCCTCACAAAGTTCAAAAATTGTAACTTTTAATCTTCTATCCTTCTACCCGGAAAAATCAAGGAAGACATATTAGAATTATATTAGAATGATCAGTCAGAGTTCGAAGCCCAAAACACTGCAGCCTTTCGGCCTATTGTATTCCTGATCACGCTGTTGACTCAGGTGAACAGGTTCGCTACCTTGATAAGGTTTAGCAGTCTCTTCACCAAATCATTCGTTAGAATAGCCTCTTGAGAGTTTAATGCTCCTAGAAGGTTGTATCTCCAACGCGCTAGGCTTCGCACTCCAATATTACATGGGTGGCAGTTTCCTCCTCCTCATTGCATAGTCTGCATATGGGTTCGTCTGTATAGATGCCCATTTTTTGTTCTAAAAAAAAAAGTGTTCCAACCATCAGTTTACTGTGTCTTTGTCCTGGGACATTGTTCCAGTATTATGCCTGATGTCTTTCTTGCATCCACCTTGCCAGCCAGCCCCATATTGAGATTTTGGGGAGGTTCCGGTCCCATGAACAACGCCGCAGACTCTTGCCTAGTAAGAGCGTCAGCTGCTCCATTGCCTTCAATTTCCTTATGCCCTGGCACCCATTGAAGAGTTACCTTGTTGTGGTTAGCCAGGATTAGTAGGCTTTGAAGGCAATTCCAGACCAGTCTCGATCTGATTTCATTGCATGTTAAAGATTGAATGGCCGCCTGACTATCTGAGCATATAAGGATTTGTTCACCTTTGTATTCTCTTACGATATTCTCTCTCAGACATGCCTCATAGCATGCACCTCTGCCTGGAATACTGAAGCAAGGAAGCACAAATCCTAGTTCTGGGTCTATCTCCATATATTTCGGCTCCCGTACCTTCATAAGTCGTAGATCCGTCAGTGTACCACACACTAATGCCTTCCTGACAGTAAGTCAAGACCATTTCATCCCAGTAGAGCTGAGTGTTGAAGGGTCTGTAATAGTTATTTTTAGGCAGCATTATTTTGTCACTTCCCATTTCCATTAGTGGGCTTGAAACTATGCTGATTATTTTTGTATGTCCCAGGGAGTCACCCCTAGCATGCCAGTTACCACGACTACACTTCAGTCTGTGTGCCCCCATCCTCGCTTCCTTCCGCCTTGATGAAGATTTCAAGAGGCGAAATATTGAGTACGGTTTCCATTGCAGCGGTAGGAGTGCTGCGCATTGCACCTGTGATTCAGAGACAAGCTATTCTCTGGAGTTTTGAAAGCTCCATTTTAGCTGATCTCTGTTCAGTCTTATGCCTCCAGACAATCATTGGTCTCACCACAGCAGTATATAGCCAATGTACAGTCGCATTCGAAAAAAAAAAGCGTTCAAGTATATTACAGAGAGAAATTCTGCATAAATCGGGCTATCGGGAATGATTGTTCTCCAAATATTGACAGTAAAGTTGTCATAGGTTCTCGAAAACAGAAAGCATTTGGCTGAGCCAGTTTTACACAACTAGAAATAGGATCCCGAAATCCTCTCTTTTCGATGCTTGTACGCTTTTTTATTGAATACGACTGTACCATGCGTTGTTTCAGTCCCCATGTGTTACCAATCGCTCTCCGAGCAGCCATTTTGCCTTTGCTGACAGTCTTTCGCAGTTGAGTATTCCAGGTTAGCATAGCATCTAGGGTTATGCTCCTAGATATTTAACCTCCTTTGTCATACTTTTAGCTGTGTGTCAAAAAGTCTGGGATCTTTTAGTTTGTCCAGTTTCTAGAATTGACCCTGAGGTCTGCCTTTCTGCACCAGCCCTCTACTAATTTCTCCTAGCAGCAGAATGAAAATCCCGTATACAAATTTTAAATCCCAGGAGCAAATCCATTCAAAGGATTCAATGCCCAGATAACACAGGATATCCTATGGATATCCTTCTCAAGTCCATTTCAGGTCGGGATATCCTGGGACATGAAATGGATATCCATAGGATATCCGTCAGAGGATATCAAATGGATATTCTGATGCGGATCACCTATGGACGTCCATAAGATGTTCGTTTAGCGAACAAAAATTGTTAATTGAGAATGGTTCAAAACAATACGAATCATCACAAATATCACATGCAAATCACATGTTTATTAGAAATTCAAAGGTAGTTTTCCATCATATAACTATTGTTATGTAGGTATAATATGTTTATAGCCACAATTAAGATATCCGATGCAAATATGAATTCATATAAATAACAAACACACCACAGTTCGGAATTTTTCTCTGTTGTTCAATGTTCTCGTACAAAAATATACAATCACTCGAAAATAGCTCTCATATATTTACTTTTTTGTGGTCTTCAGATGGACATCCATGAGATATTCATCCATGGATTTATAGCGGATATCCATCAGAAGATATCTTATGGATAGCCATAAGATATCCAAAGAAAACATAAAATCATATTTATGTCAAAATAACTTTTGTTCTTCAACATTTTCGCACAAAAATATGATTTTTCAGAAATAACTTGTATCTCCATTTTTTTCCTTGGGATTGAGATAGAGATCCATAAGAAGATATATTCGCATCCCTGAATTCAAAACTGGGTAGGTATGTTCCCAATGGATAGTAATAAGATATTCTGAAGCAATAAAATATAAATCAATATGGCATTCGCGTGAATGACAAATTTTCCAAAAGAAAGATGGAAAAATCTAAGTGAATCTAATTCTTGAATTCACCTTAACAGCATTTCGGAAAATAGCTTCATATTGTTGCGCTAGGGATAACGCGATTCAAATCCGGCCACCTCGCCTCCTCTATTTATCGCTCAAAAGATTGAATTCAATTCGAATCAACCTCCATGGCTAGAATCGTTCTGATTGGTCTAAAAATGCATCCATGTCGAAAGTCATGGTAAATTGAATTCTTTCATGAGGTATGAGCTAAAGCTTTAAGGTGGTTCACTCCTATAACTTTTTCATTATTGTAGGTAGTAAACCGCACTTTTGGTTTAACCGAGGATGGCATTTTCAAACGGGACACCCTGTATTTTATTCCATAATCGGTTAAGGATTATCATAACGAATTCAACGATACTGTGTTTGATAGGATTTCTACAAACGATTAGAAAGATATTCACATTTCCATATCCTCAATGAGCATAATAATATGAAAACTTCGAATGCCATATCTTCGTAATCGTTTGAAATAACCCTATCCAATCCGGTACCGTTGAATTCGTTATAATGGTTCCTAATTCATTATGGAATAATATACATGGTGTTCTATATTGTTAAGGATATTTAGTAAATATCCCTGAAAAATATCTCATGGATATTTGTGAACAATATCTTATGGATATCCCTGAAAAATGTCTTATGGATATTTGTGAACAATATCTTATGGATATCCCTGAAAAATGTCTTATGGATGTCCCTGAAGGATATCCTATAGAAGTCCAACTCCTTCCACTCGGCACGTCCATTGGACGTCCATAAGATATACATCGGATATCACTGGATATTCTCTGGATATCCCAAATATCCTAAATGGACGTCCAATGGATGTCCATCGAATGTCCGTGTGTTGACTGGGTGGGCACTGAGCTATAAACAGTTGTTTTTTATAGGTCAGTCAAACACAATAAAACCCAGCTTATAGCTGTTGATCAGTGATTTTGTTTGTGCTAAGGAGATCCAGTGACGTACCTACGGGGGAATATCCCAGTAAACACAGGATATCCGATGGACATCCATTGAAGGTCCATATTTGGTCCACATGGACATGGACTGGAAAAGGACGTCCAATGGATGTCCATTTTGTAGGTGGTATCATAGATATCCATTTATGGACATGCTATGGATATCCATGCATGTACATCAGATGGATATTCATTCATGTACATCCAATGGATATCCATAGAATATCCATGTATTTACCAAATATTTGATTCTGATGAAAATGATAACATTGATTATCCAATTGATATACGTCGCATAGAAATATATGGTTTGTGTATATAATTTCCTTCCTATCGAAGTATTTCATGATTCTTCGGCAGGGTCAAGAATTCAGACGAATATCTTGCTCGATTTTTGGTTGTTTGTCCTGTAAGTACGTGTTCATTACTTATTTCAGCTTAAAAAGCGAATTAATCAAGTGAGGAAAGAGACACGAATTCAATCTGACCTGAAATGAACCATCTAGAGACAGGACACAAAAAGACAGGACGGAACAAATAATCCGTGACACAAAATTTCCAGCCGATCCTGAAAAAAACATCAGACACTTGAAACGAGTGCTTTAGCAGTTCTTCATAAATGACGGTGAAAACGCACGCAGTTTGTTTATAGTTCGCGGTCAGATACTTGGAAAGTGCTCGAAAAACTCATCGTTGGTGGCTGACCTCTTCCATCAATGGTGTATTGAATTTTGATGCCGATGTAGCACTTCTTCAATGATTTAATCGCTGGTAATATATGGGTCTTCAACAATGATTAAACACCACGTGATCATTTTTGATGCGGCGTCTCTTTTCCACCCACGTTGAAGAGACACGAATGTATTCTTGGTTGCATAGTAATCTGTCACGTGGTGTTCAATCATTTTTGAAGAACCATTACCACAGATTATAAGGTTTGTTAATCTGTGCCATTACTAGGGCCGGTTGGCAGCCGCCTGGACAACTCGACGCCGTAAAACTACATAAACTGCCGGGAGAGGTGTGCGTTACAAATGCTGGAACGATGGTTGAAGGGAAATAGCACAGAACTCATATTACTTCTGTAAGTAATATGAGTTCTGTGGGAAATAGTAGATATATGGATATTTCATTCATATTACCTGTTGAACCTGGTTAGAGTATTTAGGTAAAGGTGGTGGGAGACCATTTCGTCATAATCACGTCAACATCAACTATTTTTGAACTCCTATTCCTTTCACTTTGCCCACTTCTACACTTTACCCGTGCATCTCTCTGTAATCCACTCCATTCATTCTCAATTCGAATGTTCCCATCATATTCTCTATTTTCCATATTCATCATTTGTAAACAAATATTCAAGTTCACCTTCAACCAACTCAACCAACTATGGAGTTGGTAAAACCCAAGGTAAAACCTAGGGTCCCTTGATGAAAATTGACGTTAAAGTCATCTTAATTAGGGTCAATTTCCATCAAGGGACCCTAGTAAAACAAAGGGATACAATGAAATATTCCCAATGAAAATGAAAAATTGGATGAACGCAACAGTAGAATCGTTGCTCGGGCAGAACCTGTCAGTTGTCTGCTGTCAGTTGTTTAAGGCTATATTCCGAATTCAACTGGTCAGTACTGTCAGCAGATCCACTGAGTGTTCTTACGACAGATGGTAACACATGAATAAGATCACTGCGAGTTACAAGTTGCAGTAATTCGACTCACTTCAAGTTCCAAAGTTGAAATAGCAGTAATACGATTTGGTAAAACTGCATTTAGCATGCGATGGGTTTTTTTTCGAAAATTTTTTTTGGTACTTACGTATTTTTGTCTGAAAAACACGAATTTGATAATGGAAATGTGAACAAACCATTATTTATCAAGATATTTTACTATAAAGTTTCAAATTTCACCTTCTTTTCCGCCTGTCTTCTGGATTGAATTTTAAACAATTCACCCTTCTTTTTTCATCATTGGACAATTTATATATATCACAATGTAAGACACATTTTTTTCTATTATTGAGTCAACTAGAAATATGATTTTCATGTGATTTATCCATATTTATTGAAAAGAAGGAAGAATATCATTTGAAATAATGGCGTGTGTAATGTCATTCCAAAGCAATCTATTGACATTTGACATCTCGTATTTGGATTGCCTATGGATAAAATGGCCGTCATCTGGTATGCTTGCTCACTAAATAGGCAAAACTCACCATAAAAATCATATGTCCTGTTGAATTTTCTGTATAAAAATGTGTCATTGAAGTACATCATGAGTATATAAAGTGTCCAATGACAAAATAAGAAGAGCAAGTACCTGAAAATGCATCCAACGCAAGGGGAAAAAGGAGTCGAAATTTCGAACTTTTTTTTGAAATATCTCGATAAATAGTGGTTTGTTCACATTTTCATTATCAAATTCGTGTTTTTCAGACGAAAATACGTAAGTACCAAAAAAAATTTTCGAAAAAAAACCCATCGCATGCTAAATGCAGTTTTACCTACGATTTTATTTTCACATTTCTGCAGGCCCTTTCACTCTTCCGTACTATCACTTGAGAATATAATCTATTGATTTGATATGATTTGATCAAAAAATGTATCAAGTTGATTTGTTTACATATCTCAGTCTGTCTCAGTTTACATGTTCACGAACGAATGAAGCCCGACACCGACACCCATGACTCCTTCCTATTCCGAGGCGCTCGTAAGATGTTATTTATGTCATATGTCTGGCAAGAGTCACATATGTCAAAACTGTCAAGGTCAAGAAACGACAAACAAGAACAAAACAAATACAAAATTCAAAAATGATAAAGAATGATTAAATGAATGATTAAATGAATTTGAATCCTAATCAAGTAATTAATCATTCAGAATTCAAGTAGTTCTTGGAAAGCACTATACGGCTACCCAAATTTTTCAACTTCATGAGAAGAGTATCAAGATGCTACTAATATTTACATCAGGGATGAAGTTCTCAAATCGAATTTTACCTAAATGGAAATCAAATAGATGTTTTTCTTCAAAAGAACCCAAGGAAAATCATTATGACATCGTTATTGCAGGCGGAGGAATGATTGGAACCACCTTAGCATGTGTTTTAGGTAAGTATCCCCAAGAAAGAAAAACAGGCACTGCAGTCTCTGTTGATGTATCTTCCTAATCAATATTACAGGACGAAATGGAAAGCTCTCTGATAAAAGAATTTTATTATTGGAGGCTGGGGCTCAGAAATTATGGTCATTACCTGAAAAATACAGTAACAGAGTTGTGTCACTAAACCCAGGAACTCATAAATTACTCAATGATATAGGAGCTTGGAGATCTATTGAAAACTCAAGATTTGCTACTGTTAAGAGACTTCAGGTACATACACTTTCTGGATCATACTTCATGTTGAAAGATTAGGAAGTTAAGTTATCATGGAAGCTTCTACTCATTCAACAGACTTATGCAACCAAAATTATCAAATTACACCTATGGGTACCATTTGTGAATATACCTATGGAAAAATGAATGCATGAATGAAGAAAATGTATATTTTCAAGGATATAATTATTTCATTATAATTGATTTCATAACAATTATCCTTATATCCAATTATTAACATTGTTAGTGATTATTAGGTTCCCATCAAAATTTTCAATTGTCAGCAATATCAATTTGTATGTAATGACACATTCAGAAAAAAAAATTACACAGGGTGTTTTGTGAGTAATTGGAAATATTTCAACTATAGAATCTAAAATCTAATGCTCAAGATATAAAGATTTTACTCAAATGACCTAGATAAAATATGTCTCCTTTGTGAGGTACAGGTGTTTTATTTGAAAACTATTTGTGTAGATGCTATACACTATTAAATTATGTAAAATGAACGTTTCTGGCTACTACCAGAGGTGTAATACTTTGTGAAATACAAGGGCAAGTCACTAGTTGATCCTTTCCAAATTCTACATCACTGGTGGAATTGCCATTTTATCACAACTTTTTTATTCTCCAATACTTTCAAAGTAAATATCATCTTACTCATTCTTCATAGTAGTAAAGTCATTATTTCTTAAGATATTTCAAGTTGAACATAAAGCTGTACAATTATTTTGATTTTGGTATGTTTTAATTATGTCCATGTTTTGGATCATTCTAGGGATCATTGAATTGCATTCATTAAGCAATTGAAACTTCAATCCCCAGTTAGATCCATATCAACAAAAAAAGCATGATAATTTCAATAATTTTGTATGTATTATAAATAATAAATCACCCTGTAACAGGCAGGAGATGCATATTTAATTTAGGTGATTTGGGTTAAACCAGGTTAAACCTTCATATATTACAGCTCAGAATTTTATAGCTGTAATATTTCCAATTAGTAAAGCAACGACCTGTATATCAAAGTGACACAATAATAGATATATAATAAGAGGGAACACTATTCAAGATAAATTCCAGAATTTACAGCATATTAGTATATACATAATATATGTTTATCCATGTGAGAGGAAAATTGTTGATGAGTAGTTACAAAAAATTAAACTAGGTAATATTGAGGAATGCAGGAAATTGAATAAAATTACTTTTCGTCTTGCTTCTCATACTCAATGGCTTCTAAAACATCATATTTCTGGAGATAATTCTTTCATCTGAACTGAATCTTTACCAAAATGTTCCTTGATTCTAATCTCAAATATTTCACTTTGCTGATTTGCATTATAGGAAATCATCAGAAGAAAAATCTTGAAAATTAATGATCAATCAGAGAAGCACAAAGACAAACTAAAATTATGAGGCAGAGATCCAGGGAATTCAGGTATTCCATTCAAAATAATGAAGTCATTGCTTCTCCATATACCTACCCTACATCTATGTTTCCTCGTATGTTTCTGTCTTTCTGTTCACAATGAAACAACCTGTATTAAGGATTTGTCAAATGTACCAGTTATTGAATAGTGTAAAACGTTTCAAGCCATCAAATTATGAACTGATTAGGGTGAAATTGGGTATCCATCATTACATCATACAACTCTTCCCAAGTTTAATTCTGTATGAATTTTCTCAGAAAATTTATGAAGATCAAATATTTTTTCAGGTTTGGGATGCCCTTTCTGACACATCAATAACTTTTGGAGATGAATCTGAATTAGAAGATGTGTCATATGTTGTTGAGAATGATTTACTTCTCCAAGCTGTCACTGAAGTGGCAAAAACTATTGATAATGTAGAAGTGTCTTATAATGCCAAAGTTAAAAGTTACCATTTGCCAGAATTTCAAGAAAATTTTGTGAAGATCAACACTGAGAATGGTAATCAATATGCTTGTGACTTATTGGTGAGTTAATGAACATTGCACAATTATCAGCTATACGAACTATAATTGACATCTAGGCCATCTGTTGAACAACAACAACAAACTGATACTCATGGGCAAATAGTCTAAGAGCTGGCAACAAATATAATATAATTCATTGTCCAATTTATAGATTGATAACTCCTACCTTATTATACTGCCATAACATTAAAAACTGAACAGGATGTCTGGCAAGTTTTCAGTGGTGGTGGCGACCGTGATATGGCCGTGAAGGGTTGAAAAAAATGAATGCAACATACGATTTTAAGAGCACTAAATTTTTGTGAGGTGGTAGCCGATTATGTTTGCTTTTCAATAAAAATTATGCCAGACACATTGGGTGGTGGAGTCATTCTGCCAGACAGCATTAGAGGTGCCCCAGAGGTGCCTCAGAGGTGCCTGAAAACGACATTCCATGGTCTGATAAATAGAGACTTGTGCCAATTTTTTCTGTTCTTTGGTAAGATGGACCCTGTTTTCTATTGCATTTTAGGATGCACCATCAAAATTGCTTCACAACTGTTTCTTGTTTTCTGTATTTTACTCTGTGCTTGCCAAGTTATTCAACTTTTTCTGTGACAAAATGATTTTGTATTCCTAGAAAAAAAGTATTGTGATTTTCATCAGAATATTGGAACAAAATAAATCCACATGAGTAGAGACAAAGATGTGTTAAATTCATTCCTACAAAATCAGTTCAAAATATTGAAAACTCTGTCAATGATAGATGGAAAAACTTGACAAAGTTGAAGATGCCAAAACTTCATTATTTCAAATGACACACCCTATATTTTTTACGTCAACGGTTTCAGATCCAAATAACCTTCAATTTTTATTTTTATATATCAATAATGCCTTTTCAAATAATTGTTGATTTGATGAAAAAATACCTATCTAATGTTTGCATGAAATTCAAAAATGTTGGCAGGAGGACTTCAGTCAATAGTTCAATAAAGTACTTTTATTATTATCATTCAAAGATGTTGATATTCAACAAAATAAAAAAAAATATTCTTCAAGATGTTTCTATGACTTGACAATGCATTAGAATGCAAATAAGATAAACAAGAAGATAAAGATACACATGTAATGGGAATAATCCCTTCAAGAATATTTTTGTTCAATATAATATGTCAGTTGGTTCATGGATCATGCAGAAGTATTACAAAATTTTAATTTAATGAACAAGTTTTGGCACCTTCAAATTCGTCAAATGTATCTATCATTCAATACTTTGAACTGATTTTGTAGAAACAAATGGAACACATCTTGTACTCTATTTGTGAATTTATTTAATTCCAATGTGCAAATGAAAAGACCGTACAATGAAATCTGTTGTCAGCTCTCCTAAAAGGTAGGTATAATATGGGTCTTAACAGTGTCAATATGAAACTCAAACCTTTATTCCAAGCTAGGGCACATTACTATTTTCCTATTTATTGAAATTCGTCTGATGAAGTGATTTGAGGCTAACAGCAATCTGATTCCATAATTTCATGAGAGCAGTTTTGTTTCATTTTTAGAGAATTGATGAAAAAATTTAATATTTTGATGTTTCCTCAAATTCCCAAAATTTTATTTCACCAATTCTATAGTTTCTGCAAATGGCCACTACGTTGGAATTATTAATGGAGTGCCATGTTCTATCATAGACTTATTATTATCCATCATAGTAGTCAAATATAAAAAATATAAATAAATACAGTTTCAGGGTGTTGCGAAATTCAACCAACAACGCTTGGCAGGTGATAGCTCTTGAGATTTCATAATCACTGAGATAGGAACATAATGGTCTTCAAGTGTTCAGTTCTCGACATACAGGGCGTTGAAGATAATAATAATAATAATAATATTTATTGATCCTGTAGGACATTTTTACAATGTATAGGATAAGTCAGAAAGAATGAGACACTTGAACATGAAATCAGTCACTATACTGGATTTGAATATAACATTATATTTCTCTGTCCGAGAAGTACTCCTGAATACTGTAATAACATTTTCTCAACAGTAGTTCTTTTACAGATTTTTTTGAAGAGGTTATCATTGTGAAGTTTGTAGCTACTGGCAAGATGGTTATACATTTTGATTCCCATATTATATGAAATGCAATTTTCAAATTTTTTGGTTTTGTGTTTAGGGATAGATAAAAAGTCAGAATGTCTGGTTTCGTAATTATGTAATGATGACTTTTTGGTATATTCGGATAAATTTTCCCTCACATACAGTAGGCTTCTGTATATGTAGATGCATGGAAAAGACATGAGGTTATATTTGATAAAGACCTGCTTGCAAGAATCCTGAGGATGCATGTTAAAAATATTCCTTATGATTTTTTTTTGAGCAACAAATATTTTCTGCCTATCTATAGACTGACCCCATAAGACAATGTTATAGGTCAGATTGCTGTATGCGAGGCTGTAATAGACATTCAATAAGGCATCTGTGGGCAAAGAATGTTTTATCTGCGAATTCGCAAAGTATGTTGAATTGAGTTTTTTCACTAAGTGCGTTATGTGATCAGTCCACCTCAGATTGTGATCAACATAGACTCCTAGGAATTTAGTACAAGTTGTTGATGTTATTTGTGTGTCTCTTATATTGAGAAATAGCAATTCATTACTTGGAGCATTATGTGAATGAAAGTAAATGCATTCAGTTTTGCCCAAGTTCAGAATCAATCCATTTCTGTTACACCAGCCGCAAAACTTCAGAATGACGTCCTCAACTAATCCTTGAAGCTCCTCATGGGATCCTGCTGAGACCGCTATAGATGTGTCGTCAGCAAATAGTGTAAGTACATTCGAACTCATGTGCTGTGGTAAGTCGTTGATAAAGAGCAAGAAAATCAACGGTCCAGGCACGGATCCCTGAGGAACTCCAGTTTCTACTCTGTGTAGTTCCGAGTATTTATTAGATATTTTTACTATCATTTTCATAAGAAATTAGAATAGTTTTTTCGGAATATCTCAATAAAAATATATAATGCATTCAACTTCAGTATATGATTCCATATATTGCGAAACAACTATTTGTATTTCTCAACTTTAACGCCCTGTATCTCGAGACCTGAACACTTGATGACCGTATGTCCCTATCTCAGTGATTATGAATCCACGAGGGCTATCACCTGTCAAGCGTTGTTGGTCGAATTTCGCATCACCTTGTATATCTAACTACTTTAGTACCTAACGTGATACTAAGGCTGTATACTGTACAGGGTGGGCCAAATTAGACACTTTTAAAGTGAAAGTCGTATTTTCGAACCAGATGGAAGAAAACTGATGTAGGTGTGTTAACCCTAACCTTCAAAAGTGCTCAATTTGGCCCATCCTGTACAGTGCATCCCGAGATGCATCCAATTTTGGTTGAGACTGCCAATAGGCTGTTGGCCCGCGACACAGGGTTTATCGATGTTCTAAGTCGGTATGCCATTTAAGGGGCCCACTCACTTAGTCCAAGTTAACAGGAAGGAGTGCCTCGGAGAGTCGCAACCCAGTCCTTGCCCCGGCCCTGACCTCACCTTTCGGTTGGAAAAAAGTTCAAAATTTTGTTTAAGAAGAAACTCGGCAATGAAGTTCAATGATCTTATCTCACGAAAATTGGGGCGCTTGCCGGTTTGCATACGCCTAGGTCAGTCCCCAAGGGCGGCATACGAACCGGAAGTGGCAATTTTTCAGTGTTATAGTCGATGATCGAAGAATGTATGCCCTTTGGCAAAACAATGAATTCTGACCCATTAATCAGTTTCCCGACATTTGCATACGATTCCGGAGAGGGGAGCTCGACTTATTCGAACATCAATTGACTAGACATATTTCAAATAATCGATGATTTAAGTTCGTATGCAAATCTCCAGACCGATAAACTAGGATATTCTTCATAACTGGCTGCTATTTGCATACGAATTCAATGTGAGCATACGTTGTAATAATCGGGCAAACCCGCGCGTGCCTCGGTCCGGCGCGGCGCCCCGCACTTCAGGCCAGAGGCACAGCCGAAAGCGAACTAGATAATCGGGAAGTCTCATAATCTCACTTCACATGAAACCGGGTCAAAGAAAAACTTCCTGGGAGTGATTGGAAGACGCAAATTGCAGATATATTTGTATTTATTCATCAGAAATTAACAGCTCAACAAAATTACATGTGTGAGAGGTTTAGTACCAAGAAATTGTTTTGTGTGATTTTAATTTGGAAAACAGGGCTTTGAAAAGATGATGAAAAGAAATGACAACAAGATACTCGCAGGATGATCAAGAGAAATCGTACAGGGATCATTGCTCATGATCGAAACAATAAATCGAATTGAAATTTTTCCCTGGGGCTTATGGGACTGCTTATCATAATACGGGCGTCTCAAAAATATATAAAGAATTTAAATTCAATTTGTTGAATGTTTTGGGTATAGTATGGGGTCTGTATCCTGAACTTTAATCTACATCTTTGTTTTTCACATAAAAAAAAATTATTTGAAAATGAAATTATATTAAATGAAAACAACATTATGTTTCAAAAGACAAATTATACGTCGTCCTCTCTATCATTATCTTCAGAGTCATCTTTGCTCTCGCTGTCTGAAGATGATTCTCCAGAGTTGTCATCAGTACCTGTTAGTTAGAATATTATTTGATTATTGAAAATTCTTGGCATGCTCGAAAGATATACCTGATAGCTACTTTAGGGGAGGCAGTAGGAAGTGAATAAATCTGTAATATACATTATACAAAAGTAAATGGTTTTTCATATATTTAAATATCGGATCTCCGATAAAGAGGAAGAACATTATTGAATGCCTAAATCATTACGTGCTACACTCTACCCGGCTGACGCAGCAAATCATTGTTCAAATATGAAAATTGTTTCAGCAAAAAAAAAGGAAATACTTCAAATCCGGAATTCATATTTCTGGGACAATTTGACAATTTGGCGCATGATCGCTATATATAAGAGTGCTGCGTGTAAATGATATCGCTAGATGCTGTAGAGTTG